GTCATTCATATACTGCAACAACATGGGAACAGAGCCGCTGTGATAGAATACAGCATTAATGAATCAATGGTACAGAAGTGGAGGAAGCAAGAAGAATGAGTTTAATAAAGTTTGATTTATCTGACTGCTTTGTTTCGCTTAATGTGCCTTATAATCCTGTGCACCTTATGGTCCGAAAAATGCGTACTGCACACTGCAGTTTAATGTTGCAAAGCACCTCTTTTTAACTTCAGTGGATATTATACATGGTTATGCTCAGGATATGTCAGCCCATTTCTACTGGAAATGCCTTTTGGTCAAACTTTCAGCAAGGAATTTGCATTTGCACTGTTACATTTTTATAAAGCTTTAATGCATAAAAACCAGCTTCTTGTTTAAGTGAAAATAAATGGATGTTGTTGTTTTTTTTGCGCGAGTAATGTTGTGGAGTTGTATTTTGTCTCGCATCAATTATATCGTCAGTTATATCGTTATCGCAAATTTTCAAATATATATCGTGATAAATATTTTTGGCCATATCGCCCTGCTCTACTTGCTATTAGTCAGAAAACGTGAATGAACCCCAGAGATGGAGCCTAAACTCATGGGCGGAGTCTAAAATATGACTGGCCAGGGGTCCGTTCTTCGTACCTTGCTTACTACATCCAAGATCAAATGACACATCCAAGATCAAATCATCGCGCTAACTTTGAGCTCGCTATTCCGGTGCTCCGAACACACCTGCTGTTGACGATTAGTATAGCTGGATGAAGTAATGTGAGATCACTGGGTGGCTTAACAGGGGCTACGCATCGATAGTAGAAACATTGATCGGCAACCCTTTGATTGGTCGGCGAAAATGTCGATGGAGCGCGCTCAGTATTTTTCGGCAGCAGAGCAAGAACTCTTGAGTGAGGGATTTCAGGAGTTTCAGAGTTTAATTAAAACGCAAGGGAACACTGCAAAGGCTGCAAAAGCAAGGAGCGAGGGCTGGCAGAAAGTTGCTGACAAATTAAACTCGTAAGTAATTTAATAATAATAATAATAATAATAATAATAATGATGGATTGGATTGATATAGCGCTTTTCAAGGCACCCAAAGCACTTTACAATGCCACTATTCAGTCACTCTCACATTCACACACTGGTGGAGGCAGCTACGGTTGTAGCCAGGCTGCCCTGGGGCAGACTGACAGAAGCCAGGCTGCCATATTGCGCCATCGGCCCCTCTGGCCAACACCAGTAGGCGGTAGGGTAAATTTATTATATTACATTATATCCTCTTTCACATTAGAGCCACAACAGGACCCACTAGAACATGGGAACAAGTAAAAGTGAAATATAAGAATATTCTACAGAATGGTAATATTTATCACTTATGTTGCTTTTAGTCTCTTGGAAAGAGACCCTGAAATAATCTGTTTGTTTATAACAGCAACCAAGAAAAGGGCAGAGCAACAAAAGACAGGTGGTGGTCCTGCACCCCCTCGTCAACAAGTTGGTTAAGTATCGGGAATATCGATATCTCTCTGTCACACTGTCGCGCTGAGCTAAAGGATCCTGTCTATCCCGCAATATACGCTGAATTCTGAGGACTCTCCTTATCAATCTTGCACCTTCCGCAATGGGTTGGTCGCGTATACGGACAGGACATGGCTGCGACAGGCTTCCCAAATCCACCTTCGCTTTTATAGCCGTGGTCTCTCATCTTGATTACACGAAGTAATTTGCAATTACTACTCTGAAATATGAATTACATCTGTAATAATCACATACATGTAATAGAATGATTAATAGTACATTTCCCTTTTTTAGGAAATGACCTGTATGTATCTGTGTGAAATCAATAAATGGATCAGGTGCTGCATTGTCTTTAGTTACATTGATGTTATTTATTTATGGTAAAACAGTGATGGAATATCGCTGTTGCTTTCGTATAAATGAAGCGGACATACCTGCGTGGCCGCGATCTAATCCTGTTTACATAAAGTAAACCTGCTCCCGAGCAGGTTTACGCTTACGGATCTGTTGCTATGACAGCAAGTCCCGGATGAGCTTCGGGGAACCGAACGATCCGGGATCACGCGAAATCGTCAACAATCTAATCCAGCTAACTTACTTAGCAAGGTACGAAGAACGAACCCCAGGTGTGATATCTGATCATGCTGTGTTTGTTTTCAGTGTTGTACAGGAAAGGACCACCTTTCTACCACGCCAGGTAGCAAACACACACACAGCGGTGATTCTATGGAGGGCGTATCTTAGGGAAGCATCTTTGTTTTCAAAGTATTTCACATATTTTCTGTTTTAAACTCGTGACCTTTGACCTCTCTGATTATTCTTAGGGTCCATAACTTTGTCTCCATCCTCTTCCTGTAGCTACTCTGTGGTAATAGAACGGGCTGACGATGCATTCAAGGCCTCACCGTTGCGCCCGTTTTCGTGGCGTTCTCTGGCAGCTCTCAGCAGGATTACCGCCAACGTGTCGAAGGTACACGCCATCAGAGCGATCCCGCGTGGACCGAACTCTCTGCTCTTGGTTTCCTCAGAGAACCGCCTGTGTTTGTCTTATAGGAGCTGATGCTGTGCTACATCATCTATCCAGCCGACCTATCAGAGGCTGAGCTGGACTCACCTGTGTGTCTGAGAAAGCTGAAGGTCCAGGTAAGAAACCAGAACTGAAACTATCGATAATAGGGGGGGCTAAAACAGCTCCCAACAGCTAAAACAGGATCAGATAAAGAAGGATTATTTTGATCTGTGACTCATGCAGAGCTGATGCCTTCTGCACACAGCAGCGGGGGGCGCCGTGGCGACAGCGTGTTTCATTTGGGACATTTTTTCATGACTGACTCTAAAGGCATCGAACTGGCATCTTTCACTCTTTAGGCAGATGCGTGAACCACTCATGGAGCTCCTCTAAGCAGGATAACATGGAGCTGGAATGACCGTGCCTTATTTTAGACGAGGAGAAGACAAAATGTTCAAACTCCCTGTCGTGTCTTGATGTTCAATCATTCAGGGGAGGAAATCCCAAAATGTTGATTCTGTTCACCTGGATGTAGTCAGTGGGAGAACCGTCATTATCAGGTGACTTCTTCAGGCTCAGCTGACTGCAGCTCCCCGACCCTATGAACGGGCACCAAACTCATACCCGGCTTCTGCACCTGTCTCGCTTTGTGACTGTTAGTCTGTGCATTATAAATCAACTGATCATGAACCCAGTGTTAGCTCCTCCCACCGAAAACGGTACATCCAGATGAATAGAATCAACTTCCTGGGATTGTTGATGCTGATGTCCTTCAGGTCAGATATTCCTCATTGGACAATATGAAACCTCCGACCACATATCAGTGCTCTGACACTTTAAGTGAAGCCTCTGCTCTTCCTAAACTTCAGGCCTGTGAAGATTCAAGATGTGCACCGTTCAGACACTGATGTCATCAGATCCTACATGGTCCATTCCATGCAGCAGCTTGGTCGTTCTCCCTGTTGTTCTGACCGTGTCCCACCAGGACGAGACCCTGAATCACACCCCGAGATAGTCCTGGAGCCAGTGTGGAAGGACCCACGTGACCTTTGAGACGCTGCCTCTGAACCTGAGAGCCCGATGAGCCGTAGAACATGGATGTAGAAGCAGTGGTTGCCATGGAGCTGAAACCCAGGGTTAGGAGCTGCTTCCATCCCAACATTTCGGTTTTTAGGTCAACTTCATGCAGCTCCACCCCTCAGTAACAGCTGAGGTCATTAGCGTCCATCACACTGATCAACACTTCAGGAGGAGTGTCAGGGTTCAGTAAAGCTCCTGTTTCAGCAACACTGCCGTATCAACCTGTTATCAGGGATGTTAACATGTTAGCATGAGCTACTTAACTAAGAGCAATTACCCGTTAGCCACGTTAGCCATCTGCAAATAAAGAGTGAGACCAGAGCAGAGCAGCCAATCAGCCGAGGAGAGCTGATGAGGACTCATGTGACTCGATGAATAGAAGCTCCGCCTCAATGACCAAGTTGCTAGTAATGGGGGCGGGGTTTAGGGTTGCCTGCTGGTGAAACACTTTAGTGATGTAGTTTTGTCTCCACAGGAAGTGATCGTCAGCAGGTGGGTTTCCTCTAGAGAGCGAGCGGAGCAGGATGACATCTAATTGGCTGGCGTGAGACGCTTATGAGGTCATGAAATGGTGATGTCACATAAAAGGTCATGAGGCGTCGAATAGAATCTGTGTTTTCCGTTAAAAGACTTTAATGACTGAAGAAAGAAGAAATGTGAGCTCTGCCAGCCTCTCACCCTCACCTGTCCAGCTCCATGACAGGTGGTGATCAGCTGAAAGGTGTCAAGGAACGGTCATTCACTGACCTTTGACCCCAGGCCTTCAGGTACATGATTGGACCTGAATGCCTGTGTTTGAATGAAGTTCACACTCTGAGTTTTTACATGCTTTGATGAAATGCTGCCATACCTGTGCGTTGCAGGTGACTTTTCTGTTTCTAATAAAGGTGAACACACCTGAATCTGCCTGTTTGTTGTGACTTCTGTATCACTGCACCACAGCACACTCATCATTTCCACACAGCGATGGTTTGTTTGAAGGGTTTTATGTTCTGACCGTGCAGATCAAAGGACGTAGAACCTCTTCGAGAACTCACGTGAGAACAGGTGTGACTGAGTGTCTTTAAGTCTTCATCGTGATGATGATGAAAGCAGGTTCCCTCTGCTCTGCGGCTCCATCATGGAGCTCATTTGAATCTTTTCTTTTGGTATTCATCCTTTTATTTCCATTCACATGTTTTGTGATCATGAGAGATTGTTGCAGCTCTTCCACGTGTGGATACTGTTGAAAGGGAGCTGACGTCGTCATATTTTTGGATTGGGTAGCCTAGAAACGGATGGAAATAATAAAGACATTTTTATAGTACTTTAGTATTTTGAATTCTTGGCTGCGGTGTTTGTGAACGGCAGATTCAGGGAGGCGTGTCCCGAGCGAAAGGTGTCGCCCTCTGATTGGCTGTTTATTAACGTGGTCAAAGTCAAACTGCTTCAGTTTGTCTCACAGTTTTTAGTTTCTGTAACTCCGCGGCTGTTTTGTTTTGATCTCGCTGTATCCAGATCTCGCGAGAACACTAGCCCTCCCGTCGTTCGCCATTATAGCTAAGAGAAGCGTCCCCCGGACGAGCACCGGAGAGGCTCCGTTACCCGGACACAGACACGTTTTGCTCGCTGACACCCGCCGAGCCACTCTGCATCCAGGTAAGCCCGGTACTGGCCTGTCCGCCGGGCTTCAGCCCGACTCGGAGCCCGCTAGCACGGAGAAACGGCGGAAGGCCCGCTCCTGTTAGCATGCTGAGCTTGCTGCTTGCTGTGGAGGACTCAGGTGACACTCACCTGGAGCCTCCCGGCCGAGCCCGCGCAAACACCGGACTCACCGATGGTGGTTTTCCGGCCTGGGGGGGGGGGGTCACTGAGCGCGTGTTCACCTGAGAGGCTAACGTTAGGCTCACAGACATGTGCTGTTCACCTGTCTGAGTCATGCTACGCTGAGCCTCCGGGAGTCCAGGTGTAACGTTTACCTGCTGATCCCGTCATCAGATGATGTTTTCTACACTTTAAGTAGATTCTGACAGGCGTAACAGTGACGTCAGACACATGTGTCGCCAGGTATTTTTGTTTACCTGTTTGGTCACCATGGTAACTGATACTGATAAGCTGGTAATGGATTTAACTTGTACCTATTGGACAGCTGTGACAGGTGATTAAACTCTTTATCTCGGCGTGTGCATGTGTAGGTGCGCAGGTAGAAAGATGGCAGATGACCTGGACATCGAGGCGATGCTGGAGGCGCCATACAAGAAGGTGAGAGTCTGTTTGTCCTTTGCTCATGAGACTGTCAGCCGAACTCTGCTGCTCCACCCACTGCTGCTCACCTGCAGAGTTCTGCAGAGTAATTGGTCGCGCAGCGAGCTGGAAAATGAACAAAACTATGTCAGCTCAAAGTTCATTTGTAACTCCTCCTTCACCTACTGGCAGCGTTAAGGCTCTTTGACATCACTTCCTCTCTGGACCTTCCACAGGGATCTAGACTGACACCAGGGCTGCGTTCCAAAAGTCCATCCCATCTCCTATTCCTAACCACTTTCACTTTTCCGTGTTGAGGACTTAGGAAAAGAGAGGAGCCGTGCACAGAGAACTGAAATGACCTCACGCTCTTCTCTCATTAACAGCGTGGCGCCGGATGTCTGCCATGTTAAAACTGCAGACGTGCAGACAATGGACTACAAAATGTGCATCTTACTTCGCCACAACGTGTTGTGACCCTGATGTTTTATGGAGGTCATAGAAATAGGAACAGCCCGTTTAAAAATGCCCAAAAGAAAAAGTCTGTGAGACAGAGTTTACTGCAAACTGCTCAGACTAACAGTGAAAGAGTCCCGCCTTGTTTAATAGAGTAGATGGAAATCGGATGAGTGCGTGGGCGGCTCGTACAGTAACATGGTAAGTGGGACGGCTCGTGATCAGACGGTAAATGGCGTTCCTGTACTTCTGCACATCGTCCAGGTCACCTGTTCACACAGACTTCAGTTTGTAATGATGCAGCTCTCCTGTAGATGAATCCCGAGCTCCACCTGAGTCCTAATCCTCAGACCCTCAGACCTTTGCACAGTGCTCACTGGTTTCTGTCACAAGAGTTATTTGTTAAATCCAAAGCAGACTGATTCTCCTTCAGCCTCCTCTCGTGTATCTGCCTCGCTGTTTTCAGAGACAAACACTTGAACCTGAGCTCACACTGGATTATTTTGGTTAGCGGACCTGCAGCGCCCTCCCTCGCCCTTCAGATATTTTCCTCAACATGAAAAACCTCAGCTCAGTTCAATTCCACTTTATTTGTAGAACACCAGCAGTCGTATACAGGTGCTGTAAGGTAAGGACAGTGGCACAGAGACGCGCCCCCCCGTGTGCACACATGTGGTGACAGTGGCAAGGAAAAACCTTTCAACATGGAAAACCTCTGGCCGCTAAGCCCCTCCCCCTGTCTCCTCTCTGATCTTCACTCATGTCACGGTCGAGCCGTTACGTTTGTGATTTTCCTCCGTGTTCATACATTTTTGCGTCGACCAATAAAATGTCACCGTTTTTTAACGCTGGGTTTCATTTGCTTAACATTCACCGTTGTTTATAAATGATGATGAATATGAAGACGAAGCACAGCCCGCCTGCTGGCTGCTGGTTCAGCTGATACGTGATCATGTGACCAAACACTGCCTGAAATCCGCTGTGGCGCTGTGAGCAGCAGAGCGCGGCTGACCCTGATGATGATGTTGATGATGACGCGTCCTTCACATAATTAAACGCACATCTATCTCTCTTTGTAGACTTGCCTAACGATTTCTCACCTCTGCTCCCCTGAAAGCCACTGTGATCTGTCTCACTCAGAAGGTAGTAAAAGTCCCCATCATGCATTGCTGTACTCTGGTGCCCATGGTAACATGACTGTAGTTCCCTTGGTTAAACTGTCACCTGCTTCTGGTCCGACCCCCTCATCCCGACCCCCTCCACTGGTGAGGTAGTGCAGAGGATTCTGGGAGATGAAGTCGAAGAGTTAGCTTAGCTTAGCGTGGGGGTGGTCAGGACGTGGGGGTGGGTGGGGCCTACCTGTGTGCAGGTGAGCAGCAACGTTGCTCTCTGCCAGAGGGAAGCACCGCGATTTAGAGCAGCAGCTCTGCAGGAAGTGCACAGTGTGACCTTGCACAACACAGGTGTGACTTCACACAGGTGTGCAGCTATTCAGTTTAATCAGATATTATTTATGTAGTGCAGGTGAGGGCGTGTCCTAAGCTCTGGTTCTGGTTCTTGGCTCTGAGTGACTAATGCCTCTTTTCCACTACTACCTGCTCCACTCAGCTCGTTTTCTGTTGTTTTCCATTACAAGTAGCGCCTCGACGTGTTGCTATAGAAACGTGGCCGAAAGTCTCGTAGTGTCATTCGTATGTGACACGATCAACGTAACAGCGGAGGATGGCGTCCTCGCCGCTGCACGGCGGGATGGTTTGTGCAGCGTTGTCTGGTTTAAAAATATGGCGCGTTTGATTTTTGTGTGGGAGACGCTCTTGTGACTCATCGAGTGATGCCGCTCACTGGCCAATTGCTGGCATGCAGTCTGATGACATCACAGTTTTGGATCTGCTCTCCTGGATCCCCGGCCAAGTAGGTATTAAAAGAGTACAGTACCAGGTACTTTTTGGGTACCAGGTACTTGCAGTTCCTGGAAAACCCTAAAACCCGAGCGAGTAGAGAAGGTGCGAGTGGAAACAAGGCTGTAATCCTCCTGTCTGCTTCAGGGCGTCACAGGAGTTTCACACACCTGAAGAGCAGCTGGACTTTGGAGTGTGTGTGTCTGACACACACACACACACACACACACACACACACACACACACACACACACACACAGCCCCTCCCCCTCCTGTTTGAATGACGCTCATTAAACTGTTTATATTTTCTCCTGTCCCCCCCACCCCCTACACTCCCTGACACCACCTCATGCTGTTCTCTGTCGACCCCGCTTAGGAGGACGCCAAAATCTCGAGCCCCAACGGACAGGACGAGCGCTCCAAGAGGTATTCACCTGCCTGCGCATCCACAGCCAATCATCTGCCTCCTTCTCCTCCTATCCCAGCATCCTCCTCTGTCACATCAGTCCTCTGCATATCCTCCTTCACCTCCTCTTCTTCTCTTCCTCCTGCTTGGCAGCTCCATCTTAGGACGGCGTGTTGGCGCCACGTCAAGAACAAAATTGATCATTTTGAGAAAAAAGGCGAAATGTGGAGATGACTATTGTTTCAAGACGGCCGCTGTAGGCGCTACACAAAGATGAGCGAGACAAACTCATCAGCTCTTATTGTGATGCAACATCCATCCCATTTACTGCGCCAGGCTGTAACCATTGGTAACCGTGCATCTGCACCTTCTCTTCAGCGTCCTGACGCCGATCACCACGCCGCGTCTGTGCGCTATACGCGAAATCACTTCCTTGTTACTAAAACAGAAGTATGACCTCACGACCCTGGAGGCAGTTTGTCCTGAAACACCAGCACATCTCCACGTTGTCTTGACGTGGCCTTGACACGCCGTCGTACCGTCTTCATCGTTTGTCATCCAATATATCCGCTCTCCTCTGCACGTGTGCAAACCATCTCAGACTGAAAGCGTGACCGTCGGGACGTGTTCTGATTGGCTGCCGTGTGTCTCGCAGGAAGAAACGCAGCCGCAGTCGCAGCTGCGACAGGAAGCGCAGCCGGAGTCGAGACAGGAAGAGGAGCCGGAGTCGGGAGCGCAAACGTAGCCGCAGCCGAGACAGGCGGAGGAGTCGTAGCCGCAGCAGAGAGCACCGCCGCAGCAGAGAGCGCGGTGGGCGCTACAGAGACCACCACAAGCAGTAAGTTGCTTCCTGGTGGTTTTTTTTTTTTTTTTTACATTAAAAGCTAACACACAGAGTAGGGCTGCCACGATTAGTCGACTATTTAGATCGTCGACGACTAATTTAATAGTCGACGCGTCGTTTGAAGCTTTGTAAAATCCCAGAAGACGCAGGAATAAGTAGCAGGATTTAAGAGTGTAATAACGGACTGAAACAGAAGATGGCAGCACTGCATGTACAAGGATGCCAGCTGCCGTTAAACCCCGAAGAAGAAGAAGAAGCTGTGTCCAAATTCAGGAACCGCATCCTCCTGTGCCCGCATTTGTAGGCCGATTACGTTACAGCGACACGACGAAGATAGTCCAAATTCGAAGACTCCAACAAATGCGCCCTTCATTTCAGCAGATTTGAAGGATGAGTCGGGTGTGTCCTTCGTGGCCCAACCTATCCCAGAATTCATAGCGCGGCCCAGCTCAGTTTCCAACAATGGCGGCAGCTAGTTAGTTTTAATATTACTCTTATTATTCTTTCTGGGTCACAAAATAAACGTTTAACATATTTTCAGGCGAGAATGTAGCTGTGTAAACCTCAAATATCTGCTCAGTTTATCAAGACACCACATACTTTCAAAAGCGCTCCGACGTTTTCGGAGACGTCTGTTACCCACTAGCTCGATAGCTAGCCGGAGCTAGGTCACTAGCGCCGTGAGAACACCGGACTCCCGGCAGATCGTTTTCAAACCCACCGCCGTCTTTCACTTAGATAACTTAAAAATGTTATTGTTTGGCTTTTTTTAGTATTTTATTTGTTCCTGAGTAAATCGGTTTGGCTGAGATTAAAGTTATAGTTTTTACACAGCTGAATAAATGTCAAGCAGACAGCTGATTATCAGAAGTGTGAGATGCTCCAGAATTTACTCCGGTGTCCTGTTATATTTTAGATAGCAAGGAGTTTATTAAACTTCACCGAAACAATCTGCAAATTTCATTAAACTTTAATAAACTATCATCTTGTCTTTATTTTTAGTTAGCACAGACCTTAAACACTTAAAGCTGTAAGCTAATGATAGTTATATAAGAGCAGATGCTGCTGGTGCAATAAGCTGTAGTTTTACATCCAATGGATGATGATCTGATTAGTCGACTAATCGCAAAAATAATCGGTGACTAGTCGACGATCAAAATAATCGTTTGTGGCAGCTCTAACACAGAGGAAGGCTTTTAACTTGAAAACTGTAGAGGAAGTGTTCAGTAGAACAGTAGAATCTGCAGTAGAACCCTGTGTGCATGTTTCAGCCGGCGGCGGTCGAGGAGTAAGAGTCCCGTCAGGAAGGAGAAGAGTCCAATCAGGTGAGAGCGTGGGTCTGAGGGGAGGAGTCTGTGCCTGTCTCACGGGATCAATAACTGGTGTTGATGGCGTTCTTTCTGCAGGCAGCCCATCGATAACCTGACGCCCGAGGAGCGAGACGCCCGCACGGTGTTCTGCATGCAGCTCGCCGCCCGCATCCGCCCCCGAGACTTGGAGGAGTTTTTCTCTGCGGTGGGGAAGGTGAGACGCCAACTTCCTGTTTCTATCGTGGGCCTGCTGCAGCGCCTCCTCAGCGTGTAGGGGTGACTGCAAGTCACGGGTAGTTTCTTCTTCCCACTTCCGCCGCGTGCTGACCACAGGCGTCGTCTGATTGGTGGGGTTTAAACCTTCAATGCTTTCGTGGCTCACCGCGGGCGCTCCTTCACTTCTCTTTTCTCTGGTTGGTGGAGTTCTTCTTGTCGTGATTTTTGATTCATTGCTTCTATTTTACTCGTTCACGCTACAGAGTGTACGTTTGTGTTTGGTCACAGAAAACGGTGGAGACAGAATGTCGCCGCCGTGCGCTCGAGCCTCGGCCGATCGTATCTGCGAGCAGTCGGACCCTCAAGCCCGCCCACTCGTTCCACCATCGGCGTGGAAAGGGTTTTCAAATCTACTCTACTTGGAAAAATCAGAACTGTAATAGGCCTTGGAGGGGTTTAAACCTTAGGGAAGTGATATCACTTCCTGTTATGATACGTGATAGTTCACACGTACGCTGTGAACACCATCGAATCCATAGTTATGTTTCTGCTGTGTGAGCTTTTTACTTGATCGCTGTCAGCTCCTCGGTGGAAGGACACGGCGCTCTGGGACAGGCTGAGTGTGTGACGCGTGAGCTCCATATGCAGAATGGTTACACAGTAAACATAATGCATATGTATGTTAGACAGACGATGGATACTAATGAAATGTGAACCGCGGCGCGGCCGGTCCCGTCAGGGGAACGTCCCGGCGATCCCTACCTCTGCACTGGCTTTACTCTGATTACTCCGGTGGATCGGCTGGTTGGTTCCTATGGCAACTAATGTTGCTCCTGTGTTTAGGTTCGGGACGTCAGGATGATCTCAGACAGGAACTCCCGCAGGTCAAAGGGCATCGCCTACATAGAGTTCGTGGAGGCAAGTTCAGTTCCTCTGGCCATTGGGCTGACGGGACAAAGGCTGCTGGGAGTTCCCATCATTGTACAGGCCTCACAGGTACACACACACACAACCCCGTTTAACTATCTCAGTGAGGACCTTCATTGACATAATGCTTTCCCAGCCCCTGACCCTGTGCAAAAGGTTTTTTTAAAAAAAGTGTTTTAATGCAATTTGGTGTAAAGGGGGATGGGACAGGTCTGTTCTTTTATTATTTATTAATAATTTTTATAATTTTATTGGTTTTTATAGGTTTTTTTTTTATAGAATAAAAGTAGCCAGGATTGGTGGCTAATTCTGACACTGACAGGTGAGCTGATCTTCCCTCGCTTAAGAAAGTACTGACATTGATGTGTGAATAAAGAGTTCAACCAAAACTAATGTAGTGTGAGTGCTGTGTTTACTAACACACAAATAAAACAAAAAAATGTAATAAAAACTTGAATTCAGTGAGGGTGAGATTCCCCCCATAGAGGTGAGGGAGGATCGGCTCACCTGTTGGAGATAAGACCTTTTTTATTGTTTTGTTACATATTAAGTATTTCAGACTGTTTCCCTACTGGTTGCATTATTAGAAAATGGGGACCAAAAGCTCTGTATTCCCCTTATATTGCTCACATATTAAGACTGTAGGATCAGATGGCTAAGGCTGACACAGCAGGACGCAGGAGGCAAACAAAGGAGGAACATATAAACCACACTGGGACATTGAAGGGAGAGTAAGGGTCCAGTCGGCCGCTAGGACCGTGCACCTAAGCTTAAAACAAGTACAACTAAGCCACAATTCCCTAAACCTAATTGTAACCCTGACACTAAAACCACATTTTGAGCCTCAAAAATGTCTTCAAACTTGTGAGGACCGTGAGTGTGTCCTCACAAGACTGTTGGTTCTCACAAGTATAGTAGAATGCAGATTTTGGTCCTCACAAAGATAGCTAGACAGGAACACACAGACAGGCTCAAGTTCAGGTACATCAAAGTATTCTAAATGTTCGAAGTTTAGTGTGTGTGTGTGTGTGTGTGTGTGTCTTCAGGCAGAGAAGAACCGAGCTGCTGCTGCTGCTGCTGCTGCAGCCAACAATCTGCAAAAAGGGACATCTGGACCGATGAGGCTGTACGTCGGCTCGCTGCACTTCAACATCACCGAGGAGATGCTGCGAGGGATCTTTGAGCCATTTGGACGGGTGAGACGAACACACACACACTCACACACACACACACTCTCAGCTGTTCTCAGGTGACCCTCTGATCCCGTGTGTGTGTCTCAGATTGAGAGCATCCAGTTGATGATGGACAGCGAGACGGAGCGCTCCAAAGGATACGGCTTCATCACCGTGAGTTTGATTCCAGTGACAGAGACTGTGAGCAGAACCACCAACCTCTGATTGGTGAACCTGTGGGTCACCTGGTCACATTCAGGTGAGCCCATTATGACGTGTCGGGCGTCACACGATGTGCTCTGATGTCAGTTTGCAGATGCAGAGTGCGCCAAGAACGCTCTGGAGCAGCTGAATGGCTTCGAGTTAGCTGGGAGACCCATGAAAGTGGGTCACGTGACCGAGCGGACCGACATCTCCATGGCGTCAGCCCTCCTTGACAGCGATGAGCTGGAACACACCGGCATCGACCTGGGAACCACCGGGAGGCTGCAGCTCATGGCCCGCCTGGCTGAGGGTGAGCCTGAGGTCACACCTGAAATCACACCTGTAACCCCGACTGTTTGTGTGACCTCTGACTTCTGTGTGTGCGTGTGCAGGTACTGGTCTGCAGATCCCTCCTGCTGCTCAGCAGGCTCTGCAGATGAGTGGGGCTATTGCCATCGGAGCCATGGCTGCAGTGACAGGTAACGACAACGTGGGCTTTAGGAGAGACGGCATCCATCCCACTTTGGAGATGAGCAGCTCTCTTTTCCAGAAATCTGGCCAAATATATTAAACCCCCCAAAATGTGACAGAGTCAGGACAGGAAGCAGAGCTGCAGTCTGACACACCTCTCTCCCAAACCCCCCTGAAACCCCATCTCCATAGAGACTGTCAGCTCCAAAGAGTAAAACAGTGAAATGTGGATTATTAAATATTAGGTCTCTCTCCTCCAAGTCTCTGTTAGTACGCGATAGAGATGGCACAATACCACTTCTTTATGTCCGATACCGACGTCATAAATTTGGATATCTGCCGATACCGATATGAATCCGATATAGTGTGTTTTTTTTGTTTTGTTTTTTAAATCAATAAAACAGTTTTTTTTTTTTATATCTTGCTGCATTTTGTATAAGTTCATACTCAAGTTTAAAAAACTAAACTTAAGCTATTCTGTTAAACCTGTATGCAAGAAATACACTGCAGCCAAAATATGTCACAGATCAGCAAAACTGATCAATCTAACAAACGTAAACCTGCAGCATCCTCCCTATTCTGGTGTTTTACTTAGTGGAAATATTAAGCAACCTAACTAACAGGGTTGCACACTCTGAGCAAAAAAAAAATAGGGAACCACCCCCCACCCCCCACCTCGTGATGCTTAATCGACGTAATCAACCTTAATTTAATGCACATGTTAAAAAAAATGCACAGAAATCAATTATTTTTCTACAGTAATTAAATAGATTCAACATCTTCCTTGTTGCACAGACGGTTCCCAAAGGAAAAAGTACTACAGCTTACTGGGGTATATTATATATACAGTAATGGACTTCTATACATTTTACATCAGATTCAAACTGGTTGTAAGATTCAGATAATTATTTATTAAAAGCTCGACATTTTAAATGAGAATAAGAAAGAAAAGTTTGTCTTTGTGCCCCCTTTTCCCTGTTCATGCCCTATCGGCCCCCCTGGCTAAACCCTGCACAGTTACCAGCCGTCAGCTGTAGAAAAAGATCCTGGTGTAGAAAGTAATATTAAATACATTCTAACAACAGCTGATCAAGCTTAAACGTGCTGCTGTTGTTCAGCCGCTGGTTTCCTCTTTCTGGTGCAAAGTGGGCCAAAAACAAACAAGAGAGACGGACTCGCGACAGAAAAGCCGATCAGCTGATCATTGATCAGTTTCACATTGAAGTAGCAGCAGGAGAGGCAGTCGCTCCATATATCGGTTGTTAAGCTTAAAGCTGGAACGCTTTACAAACATTCAGAGATGAACTTACACACTTGCTTTACTTCTCTGGGATAACTTCCTCGGAGATGAAATGCCGGTTTGGTAGCGAGGCTACAAATACTCAACCAGAGCGCCAACAGGTCTCGCACGCCACAGCCGCTCTATCACGTGAGGCACACTGCTCCGACGTGCTGAGGTTATGAGCTGAGTTACGCCATGTCGCAAGTTTTGTGAGGTGCTTTTGTGATATTTAATGGATCGGATTACATTTTTTGTTTCTTTCCAATATCCAATCCAGTAATTTAGGTCAGTATGGGACTGATACGTAATATGTGATATCCCTATTACATGACTGAATAATTGATCAACAAATTGATTTACTCTGCCTCACAGAAACCTGGTTGCAGCAGGATGATTATGTTAGTTTAAATGAATCAACACCCCCGAGTCATTCTAACTACCAGAAACCTCGAAGCACAGGCCGAGGGGGAGGTGTGGCAGCAATCTTTCACACCAGCCTATTAATTAATGAAAGACCCAGACAGACTTTTAATTCCTTTGAAAGCCTGATGCTTAGCCTCGTCCACCCCAGCTGTGAAACTCAGAAACCAGTCTGACTTGTTATCATCTATCGTCCACCTGGGCCTTACACAGAGTTTGTCTGATTTCTCAGACTTTTATCTGATTTAGTTGATTTCAGATAAAATAATTATTGTGGGTGATTTTAACATCCACGTAGATGCTAAAAACGTGCCTGAAGTTTCCTTCCTCATAGTAACATGCTCATAGGGTCTCGTATGATTATTGGGGTTTGTCTGTATTATTTACATCTAAAGCTCCTTGAGATGACTGACGTGATTTGGAGCAACACGAGAAACTCGTGTCACACCTGTTGGCTGCTGGTTGGTTCCTGTTCACTGATGTGAAGTGTCGGATTCTTTCAGCGGCCATGAACCCGACTCTCAACATGAACATGAACTCTCCTGCTCTGAACCTCCCGTCTCAGCCGCTGGCGACGCACTGCTTCCAGCTGTCCAACATGTTTAACCCCAGCAGGTAAATACCTCGGCCCACGTGTGTCCACAGGTGAGGAGGAGGACCTGTAGGCCTCACCTGACCTGTGTGTGTGTGTGTTTCAGTGAGGAGGCTCCTGGGTGGGAGCTGGACATCCAGCATGACGTCATAGAGGAGTGTAACAAACATGGCGGCATTGTTCACATTTACGTTGACAAAAACTCCACTGAGGTAAGAACCTGACCTCTTACCTCTGACCTTATCGACTCAGCCGGTAGTCGTGAGCTCCTTGCTGCGGCCGCGGTGGAGAGAGTGAAGTTTGTTGGGGCAAAGCTTTTATTTTCCTGACTCTGACCTTCGTTTGTTCCTAAAGTCTGACTTTTGTTTCTTTCACTTTTGGTTTTGTTTACTTTCACTGCGATGACCTTTGACCTCTGCTGTTTCCAGGGAAACGTCTATGTCAAGTGTCCTTCGATCCCAGCCGCCATGGCTGCCGTCAATGCCCTGCACGGGAGATTCTTTGCTGGTAAGATTCCACGTCACATGACCTGTGTGTCGTTGGTCAGCCAATCAGAGAGCACCTCTGACACACTCTTACCTGTCCTTCCAGGTAAAATGATCACCGCGGCGTACGTGCCCCTGCCCACCTACCACAACCTGTTCCCGGAGTCTGTCACTGCGACGCAGCTGCTGGCCCCACCCCCACGCCGGTGACTCGTTGTCAATGCTGCCCTCTGATTGGACACTGTAATTCAGAGCCCAGCCCTGTCCTGCTGGTCGTCACACATGCTCAGTGTGGTTCCCGAGGTCAGAGGTCGGCAGCCGTTTGTTTGATACAAACATGTTGCCCGGTCTCGATTGGCTGGTTCCCCACGCCACCGTTTCTTCCTGTTGTAGAGTCTCTGTGCGGCCACGCCCCCAAGTATCGTCCAGTGATTGAGCTCTGTGAGCTGCGAGGGTGTGGCCTGATGACATGATTGGTTTGCAGTTTAAATGTTTTTGTAAACGAGTTTCATTTTGTAAAAATTGTTGATTAAATTTTATTTTCTGTCACTCTGAGCTGTGGCGTCTGATTCTGACGGGCACACGCCCGATCTGATTGGCTGTGAGCAGAGCAGGTCATTCAGGAGCAGGTCACAGTATTCAGATTACAGTGTGTCAGTGATGATGGTCTGTATTTACCTAGATATCAGAATTTGCAGTGTCACCATAACTAACACGGGTCTCTCATTGGACACTGGACTTTAGGTCCTCTCCTGCTGGTTCAATAAAACATTGATGTCTAAGCTTCTCCACAAAGTCCAGAACATGATCTCCATCAGCCAGGAGGGAGCATCCACACCTGTCCGCTCTGGGTGGAAGGATTATTCCGGACTGCGCGGCAAGCTGGGCAGCTCCACCCCTCCTCTTCCTCAGGGAGTTGCACTGTTTAAATGTAACCCGAGCTTCCTGCTGCGAGCGCCTGAAATCAAAAGAGCTGCCATGGAGGGATTTTTATCTTTTCACTCAGTGAGACTGAGGAAGGAAGTAGAAAATTAATGGTTATTTCATGGCTTCTCCACTAATGAAGAAGCTTCTTTTGGCAGATACACTGAGCAAAAATATAAATGCATCACTTTTGTTTTTGCTCCCATTTTTCATGAGCTGAACTCTAAGTTCTGAAACATTTTCTACAAACACAAAAGACTCATTACTCTCATATCGTTCGCTGAGATAACCCATTCTACCGCACACGTGTGCCTTAGACCCCCCACACTAAAAGGCTGACATGTGCAGTTTGGATCTGTACACAATGGAAGCTGCAAACTTCCAAGTTCTTGCACGGCCAGCAGACTCACCGGACACGTCACCCATCGAGCATGGACACTGCTAGCATCATGGACAGGTTTTTTACGGGGCTCCCACACAAATGCAAAGCAGGAGAGGAAGCATCGCCAAATATGTTTCCAAACCAAACTTTTTCTTGTAAAACAAAGGGGGGCCCAGCAAAAAAAGTTTGGGAACCACTGGTTTAATCTCTGGGACAATCTGTGAAGTTTGTCCTGTGAACAACATTTTAGAATAGTTGTGATCAGGGTTACACTCTGGGCATCAATTCATCCCACTCTGAAGGGAAGCCACATGTTTGTGTTCGGCCTGTAGATGGCGCTGGTTAACCCCCCTCCTCTGCTACTGGCAGGTAAGTTCTCGCATCCTGTTTCAATGCTGCTTTATCATTTACAAGCCGGCATTAACACGCTGAAGGATAAGCAGGAAGTGAAACTCTGGCGAAAAAAACAGGCCGGACCTACAGGAAGTCAAACAGGAACTTTATTAACGAGTAAAAACAGCAACAGTCTGAGAAGCACAGAGAGAAGCCACCATCACCTCCTCACAGGAAGTCCTGCTGTGTCTCCGATTGGTGATTCTCACACGTACGCGGGTATTTTTGAAAACGGAGATTTTCCATTTTCGTTTTAAAAAATAATCCCGTCCACACATAAACGCAGAAATGAAGGAAAACGCTGCTATGAACATGCCAAAGCAACAGGTGGCGCTATATTCCTAACCGTGTAGAAATGTTGGCCAATCAGAAGTCTAGAAACCTCGGTGGGAAAAAGTAAACAAGGATGGGGCATAGAAGCAGTGTCTTTTTTTTTTTTTTTACTTTCCATAGAAGCAGTGTCGCTACCCGATCTGTACCGGAAACCCGATTGGTACCAGCCAGATGAAGTGTTTACTAACAATTGACAGTGATAGCGGACGTCATCATCACTATTCCAACAATCCTCTCCACACAGACAAGCATAAACACACTCGACTATCAATAAATCAAATTAAACACACGTTTGTGATTACGCTAATTCAGTTTACAATACGGTTCATTCGCTCAGTCAGCAGGTGACAGTGTCCTCGTACACTGGGGTGTTAACCTCCATTAAACGAACAGAAGAAGAAGAAAACATTGCACATGCGCAGTAAGGATCGGGGAGTCCTGATCCGTAACTATCTTTTTATTTTTTTGTTTTTGTCTACAATATATTAAATGTTTCATTATCGGAAACATTTTAAGAGATACTTGTTATTCTTAACATCTTAACAGATACTCTGACCTGTAACTATCGTAAAATACTTCGACTGGAAGTAGACACCTTTCACACATGCGTGGTACAGATCGGGTAGTGACAAGCAGAACCGAGTCGAGTGTGGAGGGACAGTAACTGTGTGTATATGTAAGCATTTAAACACTGCAGAGAGTAGAATTAACAGTAACAGTATTGTAGAAATTCATTTCACCGAAACAATAACGTGACGCACAGTGTGACGTCAAAAAAGGCGCACACCTTTGACGCTGCGTTTTCTCCATTTTTGTCGTCCACACGTGAATGCAAAAACGGAGTTTTCGAAATTATCCACCCTGGCCGGAGTTTTTAAAAATCTCCGTTTTCAGTTACTGAAAACGCCGTTTACGTGTGGACGAAAAGTGCAAACGCATAGAAAATTTTTCAAAAATACCCGGGTACGTGTGGACGTAGCCGTAGCCTCAGGCGAGATAGGTGTTTTCAGTGTGCCACCAGGAGGTGGCGCCACTTCTCCACTCCAAGTGCGGAACATCAACTCACTGAGCATGCTCACTGTGTTGCTCCACACCTGAAGAGCGATGTTTGAAAAGTGAGGTTAGCTCCGGTGTCGTTCGTGGAGCTTTTCTCAGACCTGTGTGTGTGTCGAGTTCTGGTCTTCTTGAAGGCAGACAAAATAACAGAAACACCTGATCAGCTACCTGTCCAGGTGTGTCCCACCCCTCGACCATTCAGAGCTGGGATACGGTTAAGGAAAAGGATGAAGATCAGCGCTGGAATGAGCACGCCTGCTGCTGATTGGTCAGCGGGGTGACTACCAAGCAGGTAATCACCTGCAGGTGTTAGATCTCATTCAGGTGAATGATGGTGATAGTGATGTCATCACGGTACCTTCGGGCCAGATCCACAGGCAGACTCAGCATCTTGGCGAGACGATTTGGAGCTACCGCTCCATACCCGTCGTCGCCAAGGGTGTGGCGGATCAGGTGGGTGGCGATATTCTGGTCCTCAAGCGCCGACAGGACCCGCCCCCTCCTCTCCAGCAAGAGGCGCTGCAGGTCGCCCAGCGTTGTGCCCTCGCAGGGAATTATAGGTCTCTGCTGCTGGAGGGCTGTGCAACGACAAACCACACACAGAGTCAGGACGATGACAGGAAGTAAAGACAGGTGGACACGTCTGAGCACGCTCACACCTCATGTGCACTTTTTGGAGCACTGTGAGTGATTATCTGTGACCTCAGTCTTCAAAAGAATCTCAAACTCCAACACCGAAAACATAAACAGGTGAAGACTGGCATGTGATGAGATGCTGGGACGGCTTAATGTAAAAACAAGGTGACCAAGAGGTGGCAATGGGACAGTTTCAGAATAAGGTCGTGGTTCAGGGTAAAATATGAACTCACCTTCTGGTGTGTAAACATATGGAGCATAGGGCTGTGCGATATGACCAAAATCTCATATCCCGATTTAAGACAGCTATCGTCCCGATAACGATATAAATCACAAAAATGTAACATTTTCTGTAAATTCTGTGAATCTCGGGCAGCTCGACTTGACGATGCATGAAACGATACATTTTTAGACATAAGTTGTAACGGCCGCCGTTTCCTTTGTGAGTATTTATTACACGGCGTGCTGCGGGGAAAAGCCTGTTCTAATGTTTGAGTCTAAGGTTCATTTTTTAGCACCTGGCGGCTCTTTTTTACTTCTCATCCGTAAATAATCTGCTCTTTCACGTGATTCAGTTTATTTTGAAAAGTCTCAACAGGATCTTGAGCTTTATTGTGAAAGGTTTATGAGGAACATAAACAAGCGGACACGCGATGGTGTTACCATCATTGTTGCTAACAACAACGCATAAAAACAGGTGCTTGTCCGTCCATAGTGTGGTTATATTAAATATAAGAGAAAGAGAGAACTTTAAGAAATTCATACAGCCACTACAGTGACCATCAAAACAATGAACAAATATTGCCGTAAACAGTTTATTTTGCGGCACCACGAAACAAACGATAGCGTAAAATTAAACGACAGACGTTTTTATATCGTCATCCGATATATATATCGTTATATCGAACAGCCCTAATGGAGCATGAAAAAAAGTGAGTGGAGAAGAAACACGAGTAGGACTTCCTGATAATAATGAATTATAGTCGTCCAGCCTGGAAGTAATAAATGCATGAACTAGTTTTTCAGTGTATGCTATGTCTTCTAATGATGCTGCCTAAGGGAAGCATGTATAATGTAAACAGAATTGGTCCTAGCACTGAACCCTGTGGAACTCCATAATTAACCTCAGTGTGTGAAGAGGACTCTCCATTTACATGCACAAACTGGAGTCTATTAGATATGATCAGAATACAGTCGCTCCAAGACAACAACAGTAACAGACTGAAGTAAATTAAATAAAACCAAATATTACAAAGTTTACAAAATGTATGTAATAGCGCTAACATATACAAATAGCTGTCAGACTCCTGAACTCTGCCTCCTGACATCTGACCCACGTTAACACATGGACTGAACATACACACACACACAATGGACAACCGTCAGTGTTGGGGAGTAACGGAATACATGTACCGCCGTTACGTATTTAAAATACAAAATATGAGTAACTGTATTTCGTTACAGTTACCGTTTAAAAAGGTGGTATTCAGAATACAGTTACTTTGTTGAAATAAATGGATTACACTGCGGTACTTTCCTGTTTCATATTGTCGCGGGTCAGGACTGTTTGGGTTTTGTTTGACAGCTACGTTCTGTTGTTCCAGGCGGCAGCGTTACGGTTGCCATGGTTACAGGGTGACGCCCTCTCTCTCTCTCTGCGACTGTGTGTTTCCTGGGTGAGAGAGCGCCTTTTCGTTGTTGTTGTTGTTGTTGTTGTGCTAAGCTAACAGGCAGAATGCTACAAGCATAGCTCTAAAGAATGTAGCATCATGGGCAGTGTAGTCCGTGCTGCAGGGAGAATGGACTGCCATACACGTTATGGGTCTGTGAGCGAGGAGGGAGAAAAAGGGGAGTGGAAAGGTACGAGTTGTCATCGAGGAAAAACGGGAGCTGGAAGCATGTAAATATAATAATAACCACTGCAGCCAAGAAGAGAGCCTGACGAGCCCAGTTGTAAGTAAGCTATTAAGACTCGACTGTACACCGTGTTCCTGTTTCCCTCCGAAACAATAAGTTCTGTTGGAGCAGTCTTTCAACGCCTCTCTCTGTCTCTCGCAAGAAAAGTTGACCCACACAACAAAGTAAAGCTATTTTTCGGCTACGAGCCAACAGGGACCCCGCCGTATTAGTCAGAGGTCCCTTTACTACAGTTCGGAGTCGCAGACCTTCAGTAATAGTAATAAATCACACAGCAATAGGACATTCACGTTGTTGTAAAAAGCATGATAATATATTAAGTAATCCAAAGTATTCAGAATACGTTACTGTCATTGAGTAACGTAACGGAATACGTTACAGAATACATTTTGGGGCATGTATTCTGTATTCTGTAATGGAATACATTTTAAAAGTAACTTTCCCAACACTGACAACTGTACCCTCAAACACACAATAATAACACGGACTGAACCACCACTCACAACCACTAGCACTTTATATAGCCTCTGTAGGAATTATATCTCACTTATCTTAACTGCACTACTGTATAGCTCTGTGTAAATAATCATTCTGTACATTTGATAATTTTTAACCCTACAACTGTTTACAACTTGCATAGTTCCCATTTCTGTATAGCTGTATATCTCAGATTCTGTAAAGTTATTTATTTCATATTCTGTATAGTTTTTCATATTTATATCCTGTCCATATCCTGTACATAGCTTGTACTCACTACAGCCTGTACATACTTATAGTTATAGAATATTCACAACATACTTCATACCGTGTACATTATAACATACCATAATAGACCCATTTCTGTAATATACTTACATATCTATATTATTGCTAATATATATTGTAATATATCTATATCACTAAGCACTTCTGGATGGATGCAAACTGCATTTCGTTGCCCTGTACCTGTGCATGTGCAATGACAATAAAGTTGAATTCTATTCTAATTCTATTCTAAATAGTTCAGTTATAAATAACCAGAATATTACAGAGGTGATATATATATATATATATATATATATATATATATATATATATATATATATATGTATATATATATAGTTACAAGCTTTACTGTGTCTGTGAAGGTTCTCAGTCATCGTAGTCAAAGGAGCTTGCAAAGAAAAGTGTCTGGACTTCTTTAAGTTGCTTGAAGACGTTTCACCTCTCATCCGAGAAGCTTCTTCAGTTCTAAGGTCAAATGGTGGAGAGTCCTAGATATAAACCTAGTGGGAGTTTCCCCCCACAGAGAGACAAAAAGACCCCCTGATGATCCTCTAATCGCCTGAGCCAAGGTGTGAAACTGGGTCCCTCTGTGGGGGGTCACTCCCACTAGGTTTATATCTGGGACTCTCCACCATTTGACCTTAGAACTGAAGAAGCTTCTCGGATGAGAGGTGAAACGTCTTCAAGCAACTTAAAGAAGTCCAGACGCTTTTCTTTGCAAGCTCCTTTGACAAGCTTTACTGTGTTGCTATTTAAAGGATCAGTAACTGATTGGCACTGACCTGTCAGATGATCCCCCACGAGCTGGATGACCGTCTGTCGATGCATCAGCTCCCAGAGTCCATCAGTAGCGAGGACCAGGAACTTGTCTGCAGGTCCAACACAGTGTCGGGTGATTTCTGGCTCAGTGCTCAGATAGGGTGGGGTCAGGTAGTGCGGCGGCATCGTCCGGACCGCCTCACTGACCGCAGACAGGACGTCCGGTCGAGTTTCATAGACCCGACTCAGCATATCCGCGCTCCATTTGAAGCGGACGTCACCGAACGCCCGGAAGGGCAGCAACAGGCCCAGTAGGCGGTCGTGGCGGATCACCGTCCTCTGCTCCGCTGGGTGCTCTCCCAGAATCCTTTGCAGCTCTTCGGGATTCTGCGCATTGTGGTCATTGGTGAGGTTGATCGCAGACCAGCTTCCGTCTGCCTCCTGGACGCCCAGGACTGCCCGACTGTCCCCCAGGTTGGCCACATGTAGAACGCCGTTGGAGATGTGGACGACACAGGCTGTGCAACCAGAGAGCGCCACCCGGAGGGGGGAGGTCAGAGACAACCCCTCACCAGGGAAAGACACCTGCCTGTGGGCACAAAGAGAGGCTTAACCTGCTGAAACAGACTCACCTGCAGGTTCTGCTGAAGAAAACACAACTTTGTTCTTACCTGGGGGAGGTCAGGGACAGATGCACCTGGGCTTCTACAGACAGGTCGTAGTCAAGGCGATGGAACGCATTGACCAGAGCTGATGTCGTTCTGTTGTCATCCTGCAGCCAATCAGAGAGAACAGATAATGATGTCACCACAGGTGAACTTTCTGCTGAAACCAAAACAGGAAAATCGGTTTCTGAAAAGTCCACCTGCACCTGGTTGAGACCAGGTAAAGGCTTTGACATTCAGGCATGTTTTGGGGTTTTTTTGGACCTGCACTGTCCGTGAATGTGATTCTGTGATGTGTCAGGACACCTGGTTACCTCCTCCTCATCCTCCTCCTCGGTCTCCAGCCTCTCCTGCCAGTAGTTCCGGAGGCTATGGAAGGACGTCACCTCTCCATTGGGGTAGCTCAGGTCTTGGGGGTATTTATGCCATTCCAGCAGTGGTGTTACGGCCCGTTCCTCCTCCACCGCCCGTTCCAGCTCCGCCAGTGTCCTCAGCGGCAGCGCTGCCACGGCAATGTAGTAAAAGAGCCTCTGACTGACAGCGTGGGCGCAGGCCGGCCCTGTGTGACCGTCGAACACGCCAAACAACACGCCTCCACGGCCCGCTAGGCAGGTGGCGCTGCTCTGACGGTCCTCGCAGGGGAGGTTGGATGGCAACATGTTGCTATGAAAACCCAGAACGCCATGGGAGGCGGGGCCTCTGGGGAGGGTAAGGCTGTATTCATTGGCCTGGAAACAAACAGTCATTAAGATGTGTGACATCACCAGTTAACGCTTTCAGAGTCTGATTTTTGTCACCTTTAAGATCCGGTCGACCTGAGCGGAATTTATCTGCCCCGCCTCCTGTCCCGCCCTCAGCTTCCGGCTCCCACTGCTTGCTGAGTAATGGAGTCTGTGCAGCTCAGGTGGATGGGGAGGAGGCAAGGACAGGAAGCAGCACTGCTGCAACCTGCAGCATCCAGTATGGAAGGCGGTTCGCCCCAACATGGCATGAAGGCTGGACCTGCAGAAGGATCAGAGCATTTTGGTTTTCAGGTATCTAAAGTTTGACATCCCTACATGACCACTGGTGAAGGCCATTAGTGACTTCCTGTTCCACAGGAGGCGCCCTTGAGCTCATGCAGAATGAATGGGACTCAGTGGAGCTGTTCATGACTCTGATGGAAAGGCTCGGGACATTAGCTACTGTTCTATTCTTTGATGTTTCTACTGAAGTTTCTACTTTTTGTGCATATCAAGGATGTTAGAGCATCACCAGTCACTTTACTGCATCCTCCATGTTGATTTGGGGCATGAAGCCACCAGTGGCCTCACGATAGCTTCACATTCAACCACCACAACCAGCTGCTTCTTCTGCTGCACTTTGGCTACACTCCTGGCATCTGCCAGAGGTATCGTTTAGAAACAGGCGCCATCGAGGGACACCGACGTCCTGCCCTAACTGACCAATCAGCAGGCAGCAGAACGCTGAACTGATTCAATACAATTCTAGAAGCAGCTGGAAATCCTCAGCTCAGAGTGCCCCCTGCTGCACCACCAGCTGAACTGCGGCCAGTTTTTTGGAATAGACAGGAAGTAACAGCAGCTCTGTTCAGCAGCTTTTTCAGGTGAATTTTGGTTTTCAGAGAGTGACATCAAAGGATCAGCAGAAGAATCAGAACAGTGACCAACAAACAGATTCATTTATCACACTGAAAATAAATAAATCACTGTCCTGTGACTCTGAGGTTTGGCTCTAACCCAGAAACCAGGTTTAGTTAAACAGGATCAGCTGACGGTCAGCTGTGGTTCCGGTGGAAAGTTTTGACTAAGCACGACGCTGAAACTCACCCTGTCTGCCTGACGTCTCGTCTTCCTGATCACTCCTCCCGCAGCTGCGTCTTTGTTCCTGTGACCTTTGACCCTGCTGGTGACGCGCTCATCGATCAGTTACCTGTAAACCATCCTCTCACTTTCAGCCTGCTCAGTGTGGCACAGGCTTCATTCTTCACCATATTAAACATGCGAGAAAGCAGCCAATGTGTTTAATTACCTGAGGGGGAGGAGGCGGGGTCGCCAGCAGCTCTCAGGTCTGTCTGTGTGCAGGTGTTTTGTGCAGATCAGACACTGTTGTGCGTTTCATTCTTCATAATCGTGTCAGACAGCAGGCTGTTCCCACTGACCGTACACAAAACCTGCTCAGGTTCTCCTGTATCGGCGCACAGGTGAGTTCAGCACAGGTGAGCCAGAACATCAGCTTTAGGCTAAAGGTGAGTAAACAAGGTGTGTGTGTGTGTCTGTGTATCTGTGTGTGTGAGATTATCAGTGTGTGTCTGTTTGTGTTTATCAGTGTGTGTGTGTGTGTGTGTCTGTGTATCTGTGTGTGTCTCTGTGTGTTTATCAGTGTGTGTGTGTGTGTGTGTGTCTGTGTATCTGTGTGTGTGAGATTATCAGTGTGTGTCTGTTTGTGTTTATCAGTGTGTGTGTGTGTGTGTGTGTGTGTGTGAGAGATTATCAGTGTGTGTGTCTGTGTATCAGTGTGTGTCTGTGTGTGTTTATCAGTGTGTGTGTGAGTGTGTGTCTGTGTATCAGTGTGTGTCTGTGTGTGTTTATCAGTGTGTGTGTGAGTGTATCAGTGTGTGTGTGTGTGTGTTTATCTGTGTGTGTGTGTGTGTGTATCAGTGTGTGTGTGTGTTTATCAGTGTGTGTGTGTGTGTGTGTGAGATTATCAGTGTATCTGCATGTGTCTGTGTGTGTTTATCAGTGTGTGTGTGTGTGTTTATCTGTGTGTGTGTGTGTGTATCAGTGTGTGTGTGTGTTTATCAGTGTGTGTGTGTGTGTTTATCTGTGTGTGTGTGTGTGTCTGAGTGTGTTTATCTGTGTGTGTGCGAGATTATCAGTGTATCTGCATGTGTGTGTGTGTCTGTGTATCAGTGTGTGTCTGTGTGTGTTTATCAGTGTGTGTGTGAGTGTATCAGTGTGTCTGAGTGTGTTTATCTGTGTGTGTGCGAGATTATCAGTGTGTGTATAAGTGTGTGTGTGTATCAGTGTGTGTATGTCTGTGTGTGTTTATCAGTGTGTCTGTGTGTGTGTGTCTGTTTATCAGTGTGTGTGTATATCAGTGTGTGTGTGTGTGTGTTTATCTGTGTGTGTGTGTCTGAGTGTGTTTATCTGTGTGTGTTTATCAGTGTGTCTGCGTGTGTGTGTGTGTCTGTTTATCAGTGTGTGAGTGTATCAGTGTGTGTGTGTGTGTGTTTATCTGTGTGTGTGCGAGATTATCAGTGTGTGTGTGAGTGTGTGTGTGTATCAGTGTGTGTATGTCTGTGTGTGTTTATCAGTGTGTCTGCGTGTGTGTGTGTGTCTGTTTATCAGTGTGTGAGTGTATCAGTGTGTGTCTGAGTGTGTTTATCAGTGTGTGTGCGAGATTATCAGTGTGTGTGTGAGTGTGTGTGTTTATCAGTGTGTCTGCGTGTGTGTGTGTCTGTTTATCAGTGTGTGTTTATCAGTGTGTATCAGTGTGTGTTTATCAGTGTGTGTCTGTGTGTGTTTATCAGTGTGTCTGCGTGTGTGTGTGTCTGTTTATCAGTGTGTGTTTATCAGTGTGTGTGTGTGTCTGTTTATCAGTGTGTGTGTGTGTGTCTGTGTATCAGTGTGTGTTTATCAGTGTGTGTGTGTGTGTGTTTATCAGTGTGTTTGCGTGTGTGTGTGTCTGTTTATCAGTGTGTGTGTGTGTGTGTGAGATTATCAGTGTGTGTATAAGTGTGTGTGTGTATCAGTGTGTGTCTGTGTGTGTTTATCAGTGTGTCTGCGTGTGTGTGTGTGTGTCTGTTTATCAGTGTGTGTGTGTGTGTGTCTGTGTATCAGTGTGTGTGTTTATCAGTGTGTGTATGTCTGTGTGTGTTTATCAGTGTGTCTGCGTGTGTGTGTGTTTATCAGTGAGTGTGTATATCAGTGTGTGTTTATCAGTGAGTGTGTGAGATTATCAGTGTGTGTATAAGTGTGTGTATGTCTGTGTGTGTTTATCAGTGTGTGTGTGTGTGTGTGTCTGTTTATCAGTGTGTGTGTATCAGTGTGTGTTTATCAGTGTGTGTTTATCAGTGTGTGTGTGTGTGTCTGCGTGTGTGTGTGTGTCTGCGTGTGTGTGTGTGTCTGTGTATCAGTGTGTGTTTATCAGTGTGTGTGTGTGTGTGTGTGTGTGTGTGTGTGTCTGTGTATCAGTGTGTGTTTATCAGTGTGTGTGTATCAGTGTGTGTTTATCAGTGTGTGTGTGTGTGTCTGCGTGTGTGTGTGTGTGTGTGTGTCTGTGTATCAGTGTGTGTTTATCAGTGTGTGTGCGTGTGTGTGTGTGTGTCTGTTTATCAGTGTGTGTGTGTGTGTGTGTCTGTTTATCAGTGTGTGTGTATCAGTGTGTGTGTGTGTGTGTGTGTGTCTGTGTATCAGTGTGTGTTTATCAGTGTGTGTGTGTATCAGTGTGTGTTTATCAGTGTGTGTGTGTGTGTGTCTGTGTATCAGTGTGTGTTTATCAGTGTATGTGTGAGTGTGTGTGTGTATCAGTGTGTGTTTATCAGTGTGTGTGTGTGTGTGTGTCTGTGTATCAGTGTGAGATTATCAGTGTGTTTGCGTGTGTGTGAGATTATCAGTGTGTGTCTGCGTGTGTGTGTGTCGGACCGTGTGCAGACCGCGTGTGGCGCAGACCAGCATCCAAACAAACCTCCACAGTTTCGGGTCTGAGGTGAGTCGGAGCTCCGGCGGCTTGATCCGCTCTTTTTTGCCTGCAGAGGGCTCACTGCAGAGGGCTCACTGCAGCCGGCCGGCGCGCCGCTCCGCCCCGGGGAAGAGGCGCTGCGGAGCGGACAGTGTCGGTGTTTCCTCCGCTGCGGAGCGTATGCTAAGCTGCTAGCAGGCTAGCTGCCATGACGGGCTGTTTACAGGCTTACAGGCCGGAGCGGGGAGCCGGTATAAAGGACCTCATCGGCCGGGAGCCTTTGGCTGGTGGCCGCACAGAGTGGCCTGTTAACGGCGTCGGGCTGCCATGAGCCGCGGGGGCGGTGCAGGTTAGCACAGTTGGTGGGACGGGAGGACCGGAGAGGATCGATACACGATTGATCTGCTGTTGCTCTGTGAAGAGGCATCTTATTACATGATGAACAAGAGGAAAAAGTCTGATCATGGTGAAGACCTGAGACAATCAGAACCTGTCCTCACCTGTCTTCCTGTGGTCCCCTATGTGTCCACATTAAAATCAGCTCTACAGCTTCCCCAGGTGTCTCACATGAGGGGGTCAGAGTGAATCTGATGGGACCCTGCTGCTCCATTCAATTCAGTTTATGTATATTACACCAAATCACAACAACAGTGGCCCCAAGGCTCTTTGTGTTGTAAGGTAAAGACACTACAATAATAGAACAGAAAAAAAGACCCCAACAATCATTTGACCCCTATGAGCAAGTTTGAAGCCTAATGTTAAAAATAGAAACGGTACTATGAGGTCATTAAGATAAGATGGGGCCTGATTATTTAAGACCTTGTATGTGAGGAGCAGGATTTTGAATTCTGGATTTAACAGGAAGCCAAAACAGGAGAAATCTGCTCTCTTTCTAGTCCCTGTCAGGACTCTTGCTGCAGCATTTTGGATCAGCTGAAGGCTTTTCAGGGAGTTTTTAGGACTTCCTGATAATAATGAATTACAGTCGTCCAGCCTGGAAGGAATAAATGCATGAACTAGTTTTTCAGCGTCACTCTGAGACAGGATATTTCTAACTTTAGAGATGTTGCACAAATGGAAGAAAGCAGTCTTACATATTTGTTTAATATGTGCGTTGAAGGACATGTCCTGCTCAAAAATGACTCCAAGGTTCCTCACAGCGTTACTGGAGGCCAAGGTAATGCCATCCAGAGTAAGAGTCTGCTTAGATACCATATTTCTAAGATTTTCAGGGCCGAGTACAATAACCTCAGTTTGATCTGAATTAAGAAGCAGAAAGTTAGCGGTCATCCAGGTCTTTATGTCTGTAAGACATTCCTGCAGTTTAACTCATTGGTGTGTGTTATCTGGCTTCATGGACAGATAGAGCTGGGTGTCATCTGCATAGCAGTGTAAATGTATGCTATGTCTTCTAATGATGCTGCCTAAGGGAAGCATGTATAATGTAAACAGAATTGGTCCTAGCACTGAACCCTGTGGAACTCCATAATTAACCTCAGTGTGTGAAGAGGACTCTCCATTTACATGCACAAACTGGAGTCTATTAGATAGATATGATACAAACCACTGCAGTGCAGTACCTGTAATACCTACAGCATGTTCTAATCGCTCTAATAGGATATTATGGTCGACAGTATCGAACGCTGCACTGAGGTCTAGCAGGACAAGCACAGAGATGAGTCCACTGTCAGAGGCCATAAGAAGATAATTTGTAACCTTCACTAAAGCTGTTTCTGTGCTGTGATGAGCTCTGAAACCTGACTGAAACTCTTCAATGAGCCTCTGCAGATGATCTGTTAGCTGTTTGACAACTACTCTTTCAAGGATGTTTGATATAAAGGAAGGTTGGAGATTGGCCTATAATTAGCTAAGACTGCTGGGTCTAGAGATGCTTTTTGAGTAAAGGTTTAACTACAGCCAGCTTGAAGGCCTGTGGTACATAGCCGATTATTAGAGATAGGTTGATCATATTTAAGATCGAAGCATTAATTAATGGCAGGACTTCTTTGAGCAGTTTTGTAGGAATGGGGTCTAAAAGACACGTTGATGGTTTGGAGGAAGTAATTATTGAAGTTAACTCAGAAAGATCAATTGGAGAAAAAGAGTCTAACTTAACATCAATGGTACTAAGAGTAGCTGCAGATAATATTACATCTGTGGGATGATTATGAGTCTTTTTTTCTCTCTAATGCCTAAAATGTTATTCATGAAGTCATTACTAGTTAACATTAAACAGTCCTGGAATTAAATCCTTAATCTAGTTACAGCACTTTCAGAAAGACACCTGCTGTGTTCAAATTTATTCCTCACTGCTGTGTGATCAATTATTGTAAACTCTACCTGTGTGGGTGGGCCCAGGACTGAGGAGAATCATCTCAGGTGTTCCTGGTGTGTTTTTCCTTTTCCTCCGTGGTTTTTATTCTGCACCTTCATGAAGGTAAAGTTTCACATCTGAATCTCCTGTCTGTGGTTCCAGCCGTGGTCGTGGCGATGAGCAGTAACGAGTGTTTTGGTTGCGGCCGCTCAGGCCACTGGGTGAAGAACTGTCCGAGTGGCGGCCGAGGGCGAGGGAAAGGACGCAGCAGAGGCAAAGGTGACACCCATCATCAAACCTCCATGAGTTTATTTTAAAGTTTATTAAAAAGCCTGTAGTTTTTACAGATGTCGCCATGGAGACGTGGAAACCTGTTTCCATTTCCAGCTTCTGCATTGGTGCTGTTATTGTGAACAGCTGACTATGTGACACACCCGGCGGTTCACCCCTGTCGTGTCGTTGCAGACCTGTTCTGTTACCGATGTGGCGAACTTGGGCACGTGGCCAGAGACTGCGAGCGCACAGAGGACGGTGAGGACACACGCTTACAGATCACAACAGTTTAAAGACAGGTGAGCACAGGTGTGATCTTTCCTGCAGCCTGCTACAACTGCGGCAGAGGAGGTCACATCTCCAGAGACTGCAAGGAGCCCAAGAAGGAGCGCGAGCAGCTGTGCTATAACTGCGGCAAGGCCGGTCACATGGCGCGCGATTGTAACCACGCCCACGAGCAAAAGTGCTACTCCTGCGGCAGCTTCGGACACATCCAGAAGTGCTGTGAGAAGGTCAAGTGCTACAGGTAAACTAATACTAAAGCTGAGCCTACAAACACAGGTGAACGGTCCAGCGTAACCTGTCCGTGTGCTCTGCAGGTGCGGGGAGATCGGCCATGTTGCGGTGCACTGCAGCAAGGCGTCCGAGTTGAACTGCTACAACTGTGGGAAGTCAGGTCACCTGGCGAAAGAGTGCACCATTGAAGCCACCCCCTAGCTGGCCTCTGACCCCTGACCCTACGCTCCCAAACCTCTTCTTTTATTCTCTGTTCGTGCCCTCTGATCCTCCTCTTGTCATTGGTCTAGAGGCCTGTCGGTCAGCCTCGTAACAGCCAGTCAGAGCAGACGGAGGGAGGAGGAGGGGGCGGGCTACAAAACCCATTTGTTCTTCTGTGTTTTAGTTTGGTAGCTGTGTTACGATGTACAGAGCTTTTTTAGACCTGAGAGAGTGATGTATGAAGGCCAAATTAGGCCCCTCCCCTCTGCCCTTTGGGTGGGGCTAACAGAGCCATGGAAGTTTGTATCTTGCCAACTTCATTTTTGTTTTTGGACCATATAAAATGATTGTCCCCACCTCCAGCAATCACCCAATAATATCGCAGGATGAACGAGCCAATCAGGACAGGTCGCAGCAGATGTTTTACAGGTGCGTTTTTGTGCAGGTCGAGGAATCGTACGCCAAGAAAAAAAGCCGCAGGAAGTCTGGACAAAACCCCCAGAAAAATCTTATTTTTGTACATTTTACCTGTGAGCTGTTGTAAAGGTGTATGTTCTACCTGACAATAAAAAGGTAAGAAGGATGAGGGCGGAGCCTGCGGTGGCTGTCTTATTTCTTCAGACAGGCACCACTGACCCACAGGAGATGAACCGACCAATCAGATCAGAGGAAACGAGCTCCAGAGCTCACCTGAAAGCCTCATGGTTTAATTAACATCTGCAGCAGCTGGACAGAGCGATCCCTGACGACCTGCTCAGTTCCTCGCTGTCAGACACCTCCAGAATCTCCTCCTCTCATCATCATAATAATAATGGATTACATTTAAATAGCGCTTTTACAATGCCACTATTCATTCACTCTCACAGTCACACACTGGTGGAGGCAGCTACAGGTGTAGCCACAGCTGCCCTGGGGCAGACTGACAGAAGCGAGGCTGCCGTATCACGCCATCGGCCCCTCTGGCCATCACCAGTAGGCGAAGTGTCCTGCCCAAGGACACAATGACCGAGACTGTCCGAGCCGGGGTTCGAACCAGTACAAGACAAACTGCCAACTCTTGAGCCACGATCGCCCCAGTGTAGTAACAGTCATCATTGTTACTACTCTGATTACATCGAATGAACGACTGACTCAGTTTTATTAAGGACACAGGAAGTTTGATCTGCGTACAGTGAAAGAATAAAGTCGCTGTGGAAATAAAACATAAATAAACACAATGAATCTTTAAAAGTTCAATACAGGTCGTACATGAACATGTCATTCACTGCTGATGTACAACAATACATCCCAGCGTTAACCTCTGACCTCTGTGGTGTTCATGATCAGACTTCTCACTTACCTGGGCCAGGGGTGTCAAACTCGTGGCCACTTGTGGCCCATGTCACCCCTACTTATATAGGCAAGGCAAGGCAAGTTTATTTGTATAGCACAATTCAACAACAAGGTGATTCAAAGTGCTTTACAGAGACATTAGAAACAAAAACAAATAAAAAGCATGATTTAAAATTGATTAAAACAAGCAAACAAACAAACTAATTAACAAACAAACAAAACAGTATATAAAATCAAAACAGATAAAATCAGATATATTATATATTGATATGAGGAAATCTAATGTAATTCTTCTTAGGCAGAATTTGTTTGTTGTTGAGCTAAATGTTAAAATAAGTTCTTTCTGAGCAGAGAGCACAAACATGCGGAGGCTGTGCAGAGTCACACTGCAGTTGTTACATACCAACACACTGATGGCAGCAGTGCTCTGACGTGTGTGCAGACAGAGGACCAGTGTGTTTGTTTGCTCGTTCAGTGAAAGGCTTCAGTTTTGTCTTCTTATACAATGTTTGACATTTAAAACAACAAACAAAACATTTTAGGAAATATTTGTTGGCGTTTGTGGCCGTCCAATCAGATCTCACACAGCTCATATAAGTTTGAGAGTTCAGCGTGCACGTCCGTCATACAGCAGATGAATATTAATGTTCTACGCTTTCACATTAACTATTTTATTTCCTACATTTGTGTGTACATTTTTATTTTATCTTACATGTCGTTGTAGGCGGGCCGCTCGTCCTGCAGGGGGCAGTAGTGCAGACATAAAACCGGATGCAGTGGGGGAGCCGGTGACGTGTTTCCTGTTAGTGTGCGTGCTGTGTTCGTGTGTGTTTGGATGGTTTCTGCTCGGTTGTTGGATTAACGGCTAAACTCCGCAGCAGACATGGTGAGAATCAGCATTTTAATCTGTTGTGTTCACTGACGTCACAGCCGTGTGCACGTTAATCAATATTCATTATTAATCAGTGATCAGGAAGCGCTCAGCGGCTCTGTGAGGAGCCGCTCCTCCGACTCCAAACCGTGTTAAAACACTCTGAGTTAAAAATAACAGATTTTTGAATGGAGTCTGGTGGAGCAGCTGAAACATGGAGAAGACTGAGCAACCAAAGCAGACCGTGATCACCTGGTGTATCGATCAGGTGGCTGTATTGAACATTAATGCTCACGTCACCTACCGCCTACTGGTGATGGCCAGAGGGGCCGATGGTGCGATATGGCAGCCTCGCTTCTGTCAGTCTGCCCCAGGGCAGCTGTGGCTACACCTGTAGCTGCCTCCACCAGTGTGTGAATTCAAATTCAAATTTTATTTATCACGTACACAGTCATACACAGTACGATATGCAGTGAAATGCTTAGACAACTGCTTGTGACCTAAAGAAAACAAAAAAGGAAAAGGCTATGAATAAGATAGGAAATAAATATGAAAAATTAAAAAGGGTAAATTTAACTAGGAAGGAATAAAATATAAATTAAGGTTAAAAATGAAATAACTGTACAACACAAATTAGAATGAAGGGTAAATTTAACTGGGAGAATAAGATAAAATATATAAATTAAAGTTGAAAATAAAATAACTGTACAACAAAATACACAATATAGAACTATATAAGAATGTATGAAGAAATATAAATAAATATATACACAATAACAGCAGCTGTACAAGTATTAACTGGAATGAAGAATGTAGTGACCAGTGTTGTGCGATCCACATTATGTCTTGTGCAGTGCAAATATGCTTAAAGTGATTTAAGTGATGAAGTGAAACAAAGTCCAGAAAGTCCAGTGTGTGTGTAAGAACCATATGTGTGGGTCAGTACTGTGTGGTGGTGTGATTGAGAGACCGTATCGCCTGCGGGAAGAAGCTCCTCCTCAGTCTCTCTGTGTTGGTCTTCAGGGAGCGGAATCGCTTTCCTGACCTCAACAGAGAGAACAGTCTGTTGTTGGGATGGCTGAGGTCCTTCACCATCTTCCTGGCCTTGGTCCAGCACCGCCTGCTGTAGATTGAGTGCAGGTCAGGGAGCTCGGAGCGGATGGTGCGCTCAGCTGACCGCACAACCCTCTGTAGAGCTCGTCTGTCCTGCATGGTGCTGTTCCCGAACCAGGTTGAGATGTTTCCCGCCAGGATGCTCTCTATGGTGCACGAGTAAAAGTTCCTGAGCACCTTGGAGGGCAGTTGGAAGTCTCTCAAGCGTCTGAGGTGGTAGAGACGCTGACGGGCCTTTTTCACCACGGTGTTGATGTGACAGGACCATGACAGGTCCTGCGTGATGTGAACTCCGAGGTATTTGAAGCTGTCCACTCTCTCCACTGGGCACTCGTTGATGACGGGGGTCTGGTAGTTCCTCTCCTGCTTAGTGCTGAAGTCCACTATCAGCTCCTTTGTCTTACTGACGTTTAGAAGGAGGTTGTTCCTCTGGCACCAGTTCTCCAGATTCCTAATCTCCTTCAGGTAGGCCGTCTCGTTGTTATCAGAGATCAGGCCCACCACGACGGTGTCGTCAGCAAACTTGATGATGGTGGTGGAGCTGGTAGTGGCCACGCAGTCATATGTGTACAAAGAGTACAGCAGGGGGCTCAGAACACATCCCTGGGGGGCTCCAGTGCTGAGAGTGGTGGAGGCTGAGACATGTCCGCCCATCCTTACTGCCTGTGGTCTGCCAGTTAGGAAGTTGGAGATCCACTGACACATAGATGAGCTGAGTCCCAGATGCTCCAGCTTGGTGGTGAGTGTGGAGGGAATTATGGTGTTAAATGCAGAGCTGTAGTCTATGAAGAGCATTTTAACATAATTCCCCCTTCTAGTGTCCAAGTGAGTGAGTGATGTGTGGAGGAGATGAGAGATGGCATCGTCTGTGGAACGATTTGGACGGTAAGCGAACTGTAGTGGGTCCAGTGTGTCTGGTAGTGAAGAAATGATGAAGTCTCTGACCAGGCGTTCAAAGCACTTCATCACTACTGAGGTGAGGGCTACAGGGCGATAGTCATTGAGAGAAGCAGGGTGGGGTTTCTTCGGGACAGGAACAATGATGGACTCTTTGAAGCATGTGGGGATCACCGACTGAGATAAAGAGATGTTGAATATCTCAGTGAACACAGGAGCTAGCTGGTATGCGCAGTCTCTGAGGATACGACCTGGGATGCCGTCTGGTCCTGCTGCTTTCCTGGTGTTCACTCTCTTGAAGGCTCTCCTTACTTCATGCTCGGAGATGACGAGCACGTTTCCGGTGCTGGCAGTATCTTCCTGTTTGCAGCCGTTAGCGCCGCTAACACTAGCATTGTTGGAGACCTTAGCTGCAGCCTCGAAGCGAGCATAGAAAGTGTTCAGCTCGTCTGCCAGAGTCACGGCCGCGTTCGTCATACCGGTTGTTGGTGCTTTATAGTCCGTTATTGTCCTTAGTCCCCGCCACAGGCTCCTAGAGTCACTCTGTTGGAGTTGTGACTCTAGTTTCCTCCCGTAGCGCTGCTTCGCCTCTTTCACCGCCCTCCGCACGTTATATGACGCGGCTTTGTACGGGTCCATGTCCCCCGTCGTGAGTCCCGTGTTGTAGGCAGCGGTGCGGGATCTCAGAGCGTCGCGGATGGTTTTATCCACCCACGGCTTCTGGTTAGGAAACGTTGTGATAGTCTTTGTCTCCACGGTATCATCCGCTAGTTTCCCAATGAATCCCACAACCGCTTCCGTAAACTTGTTGACATCATCGGAGCTGTTTCTGAACAGGCCCCAGTCTGCGTCATCGAGTGCGTCCTGTAACGCGGCCACCGATTGATCCGTCCAGCGCGCGACCTTCCTCTGAACTGGAACTTCCTGTTTCAGCCTTTGTTTGTATTTTGGCATGAGGAAGATGGCGGCGTGATCAGATTTGCCAAAAGGAGGGCGGGATTGTGCCTTGTAGCCGTCCTTGACCGTAGTGTAGCAGTGGTCCAGTGTCCTTTCACCCCTGGTGGGGCAGGTGATGTGTTGATAAAAGTTCGGCGCTGCGCGTTTGAGGTTGGCGCTATTAAAGTCCCCCGTCACAATAAGCGCAGCGTCCCGGTGTTGTGTCTGGTGCTGTGTGAGTGCCTCATGCAGCTCGCATAAGGCGGTGACCGTGTCCGCTTGTGGTGGAATATAAACGGCACTTATAATGACCGATGTAAATTCCCGAGGTAGATAAAAATGACGGCACATGATGGACAGTAGTTCCAGATTTGGTGTGCAGGAGCGTGTGAGAGGAACAACGTTCGCACTGTTGCACCAGTTGTTGTTCACCATTAAACACACGCCGCCTCCTCTTGACTTCCCCGAGTCCCGTGTCCTGTCCATGCGGTGAACCGAGAAGAACTCGGCCGGCTGGATGGCGTGGTCCGGCACCGCTGGGTTTAGCCATGTCTCGGTGAAGCAGAGGAGATTGCAGTCCCGAATGTCTCTCTGGAACTTTATCCTGGCCCTGAGGTCATCAAGCTTGTTCTCCAGTGACTGGACGTTGGCGAGCAGGATGCTAGGCAGTAGAGGTGGGAATCACCATACATCCCACGATACGATATTATCACAATATTTAACTCACGATACGATATTATTGCAATTTTTAAAAATATTTTGCGATATTCAGATTCTGTACATAAAGGTAAACGTTATCAATATTCATTTTATCTAATATCAAAGTCTCGCACTCAGTCTTTCTCTTATTTCAGTTTTATTGTTGACAAACTGAACGGTTTGTATTACAGTCTAGTCCAACTGAACTGAATGCAACCATCTGGTACAATTACAGCTATTTATAAAAACTATGCAGCCCATTCAGCAACTGAAGAATTTGAAAGTAAATTAAAACAAAATATAATTTTACATTAAATAAAAAAGTTTTAAACTTCATTAAAATTAAATTAAAATAAGTAAACTGCCAAAAAAAAGTTAAACACATTTGGACAGTGTCAGGATTCTTGCTCAGAAAAAGGAACTGATCAACATGCTCTGAAGTCAGAGTTCCAGTCCACAAAAACTTTTTTTGTAACAAAATATCGATTTCTGCTGTCCCTGTATCGATACATTATTAGCAAACAAAATATCACGATACTACACAGTATCGATTTTTTTCCCCCACCCCTACTAGGCAGAGGTGTGCACAAGCTCTTAGCCTGTTCCTGACGCCGGCTCGCTTCCCTTTGTTCTCCCTCAAGATCTCACTGAATGTGAATGTGAGAGTGAATGAATAGTGGAATTGTAAAGTGCTATATAAATGCAATCCATTATCAGCTTGATTAAACTGCTGATTTTAATGGAGTCTGGCGGCAGTCTGGGTCTCAGCTCTTGCCCAGGTGTCAACTTTACCTGGATAACACCTCCAGGCCCAGCTGCAGGCCAACAAGGAGAGGTTCAGAGGAGGTGCTTGGTGACCTCACGTGCTATTGGTTACCATGAAATTACCTCCTCTTTGAGCTCCACATGTTTCCAGATGTTTCTCACTCCGATCTTCTCTCTGTGCAGGCGAGGAACGCCGAGAAGGCCATGTAAGTACTTCCTGTCAGAGATGTGCTGTATGACCCCCCCCCCCCCCCCCCACACACACACACACACACCTGTCCTCCTCTTTCTGTGGTCCTCCTCCACCTGACCACCTCTTCCTGTCCTCCTCTTCCTCTTCCTGTTGTCCTCCTCTTCCTCTTCCTGCTGTCCTCCTCCTCCTCTTCCTGCTGTCCTCCTCCTCCTCTTCCTGCTGTCCTCCTGTTGTCCTCCTCCTCCACCTGTCCTCCTCCTCCACCTGTCCTCCTCTTCCTCTTCCTGTTGTCCTCCACCTGTCCTCCTCTTCCTGCTGTCCTCCTCTTCCTCTTCCTGTTGTCCTCCACCTGTCCTTCTCTACCTGCTGTCTTCCTCTTCCTGCTGTCCTCCTCCACCTGACCTCCTCCTCCTGTCCTCCTCTTCCTCTTGTCCTCCTCCTCCACCTGTCCTCCTCCTCCACCTGTCCTCCTCTTCCTGCTGTCCTCCTCCACCTGTCCTCCTCATTGGGTAAATGTGTCCCTCTGCTTTGTCTGTCAGGACGGCCCTGGCTCGGTTCAGGCAGGCTCAGCTGGAGGAAGGAAAAGTCAAGGTGAGTTTCGAGATCCAAAGCGTTTATCGTCATGTGTACAAAGAAAAGCATTTCTCTGTACAATGAAATTCTTTCTCTGCTGTCCACACACAGATGCCGGTTAATATCTGCAAATAGAACTAGAACAAATAAAATACATGTGCAAAAATTATTATTACTGTTAAAATAGGTCAGCTGTTCAAGAGTCTGATAGCTGTGGGGAAGGAGTTGTTGATGTTCTGGATTTCGCACTTCTAAACCTTGGTCCTAAGCAGAAGTTTGAGGAGTCCGTGTTGGGGGTGTGTGGGGTCTTTGAGGATGGAGGCAGCTCTCTTCTGGACTCTGTGATGGTAGATGCTCTGCAGAGAGGGCAGCGGGGTCCTGATGATCTTCTCCGCAATTGTTATCACTCTGCAGGCGGTTGCGGTCTATAGCAGTAGTGCTGCCGTCAGATAAACACCTGTCTGCCTGATCTCTCATCTGTAGGAAAGAAGACCCTTTCTGGCCTCAGAGTGCAGTGAACTTCCTAAAGCTGAAAAATGGAGACGACAGGTAGTCACACTGCAGCACTAGTATCAGTAGTGGTGATGGTACCTGCAGTCAGGTGTACTGAGTGTGTCCTGTGTGCCTGTTTCAGATTATCAGTGAAATCTCAAAGAAAGTCGCACAGATCCAGAACGGTGAGTCCAAGTCTCTTCCTCACTTGTCCCACTCCCCTTCTCTCACCTGTGCCTCACCTGTGTCTCTCCGTGGCTCAACAGTTGGGAGTTCGTCTTGCAATCGGAAGGTTGCCGGTTCGAGCCCCGACTCGGTCGTTGTGTCCTTGGGCGAGACACTTCACCCGTTGCCTACTGGTGGTGGTCAGAGGGCCGGGTGGTGCCAGTGTCCGGCAGCCTCGTCTCTGTCAGTGCGCCCCAGGGTGGCTGTGGCTACAATGTAGCTTGTGTGTAAAGTGCTTTGGGGTCCTTAGGGACTAGTAAAGCGCTATACAAATTAGAGATGGCACGATACCACTTTTTTATGTCCGATACCGATACCGATATCATAAATTTGGATATCTGCCGATACCGATATGAATCCGATATAGTGTTTTTTAAATATCTTGCTGCATTTTGTATAAGTTCATACTCAAGTTTAAAACAACAACTACACTAAAGCTATTCTGTTATACCTGTATGCAAAAAAAATATTTCATAGTTCAGCAATACTGATCAATCTAATAAACTTAAACCTGCACCATCCTCCCTATTCTGGTATTTTAAAGAGTACTTAGCATAAATATTAAGCAACCTAACTAATAGGGTTCCAACTCCCAGCAACAACAAAAATAAATAAATAAAAAATAGGGAACCACCCCTCACGCTCCACCTCATGATGCTTAATCGACGTAATCAACCTTAATTTGATGCAGTGTGAAAAAAAATGCACAGAAATCAATTATTTTTCAAGAAATATTAAATAGATTCAACATCTTTCTTCAACAAAATTGCAGACTGCACAGATGGTACCGTCCCAAAGGAAAAAGTACTATAGCTTACTAGGGTATATTAGACTTAATAGTTACTATATACAGTAATTGACTTCTATTCATTTTACATCAGATTAAAACTTTGGGTGTAAGATTCAGATAAATATTAAATGATTAAAAGCTAGACATTTTAAATGAGAATAAGAAAGAAAAGTATGTCTTTGTGCCCCCTTTTCCAGTTAATGCCCTATCGGCCCCCCTGGCTAAACTTTGCTAGATGCGCCCCTGCACAGTTACCAGCCGTCAGCTACGTAGAAAAAGATCCTGGAGTAGAAAGTAATATTAAATAAATTCTAACAACAGCTGATCAAGCTTAAACGTGCTGCTGTTGTTCAGCCGCTGGTTTCCTCTTTCTGGTGCAGAGTGGACCAAAAGCAAACAAGAGACACAGACTCGCGACAGAAAAGCTGATCAGCTGATCATTGATCAGTTTCATGATTGAAGTAGCAGCCGGAGAGCGAGAGGCAGTCGCTCATTAAGCTTAACGCAGGAATGCTTTACAAACATTTAGAGATGGACTTACACACTTGCTTTACTTCTCTCGGGGATAACTTTGTCGGAGATGAAATGCCGGGTTGCTAGCGAAGCTCCACATGCTATCCAGACCACCGACAGGTCCCGCATGCCACAGCCGCTCTATCACGTGATGCATACTGCTCCAACGTGCTAACCTGAGGTGAGTTACGGCGTGTTGCAAGTTTTGTGAGGTGCTTTCGTGATATTTAATGGATCGGATTACATTTTTTATTTTTCTCCGATATCCGATCCAGTAATTTAGGTCAGTATCGGACCGATACCGATACGTAATATCGGATCGGTCCATCTCTAATACAAATACAGACCATTTACCTGTGCCTCACCTGTGCCTCACCTGTGCAGCTGGTCTGGGTGAGTTCAGGATTCGGGATCTGAACGATGAGATCAACAAGCTGCTGAGAGAGAAAGGTCACTGGGAGGTCCGCATCAAAGAGCTCGGAGGACCCGACTATGCAGTAAGAGACATACACAGGAGTTCACGTTTAATCTGAGCCATCAAAGGGTCAGATTAATAGAACTGTTACCATAGTAACCACTGATTTAAAGCCTGCTGTGATGAGTCACGTGACCCTGAATGTTGTAATCTGTGTAACATCGTGCTGCGAGACTTTCATCAAATCCTGACTTGATATTGATAATCTTGATTTATTATCAGTAATCATGGCAAGTTATTGAAAATTCCAATTTATTTATCAATCGGCGCAATCGAAGCAGCTGACCGCGTGTTTGTGTCGCAGCGCATTGGGCCAAGGATGTTGGACCACGAGGGAAAGGAGGTGCCTGGAAACCGCGGCTATAAATACTTTGGAGCTGCCAGAGACCTGCCGGGAGTCCGGGAGCTGTTCGAGAAGGAGCGTACGTATTTGCATCACTTCCTGTTTGATGTCACACTGTCACACCATCGGTCCTCACCAAGTATGTAATCTCCCAGCTGCCCCAGCGCCGAGGAAGACAAGGGGGGAGCTGATGAAGGATGTGGATGCAGAGTATTACGGCTACAGAGACGAAGACGACGGCGTCCTTCTTCCTCTGGAGGCGCAGTACGAGAAACAAGGTTCATAATCCCCAGATTATAAAATAATCCAGAGAATATGTGAAAATCCTGGATGATGGAATTATTGGATTATAGTTCAGCAGATTTGAAGCGTCTGTTCATGCGTGTGACACTTCAGGTAACCTCGTGTGTGTGTGTGTGTAGCTGTGCTGGAGGCGGTCCACAGGTGGAAAACAGAGAGAGAGTCTCGAGTGTCTGGAGAGAAACAGCAGGAGGAGGAAGAGGAGGAGAGCATCTACACCGTCTACAACGAAGAGGTGAACTGTCTCTTTACCTGCTCAGCCAATCAGCTTCTGTCAGGTGACCTCGGCACACCTGAGAGCGGTTCACTCGTAGAAACACACCGTCTGGTGTGAACGTGCAACTCTGACATGTAATCCAGATAAAATGATCTGGGTAATCCAGATCACTTTTGTCCTGGTCAGTAAGAACTGAATAGGATCACTTTAATCCGGGTACAGGTTTAAGGTTATCAGTACTTGTAGTGTGCTGAGATCGTTACGAAATACGATAAATTTGATGTTAACAGCTGGATTATTGCATTAGCCATGTTTACCTCGTCTGCTTTATCGTGATACGAGGACGAGCTGAAGACACTGAAACATTTTTCAAACGTTGAGGTAGACGTCATCCAGGTGAGGAAGTCCCAGAAGGTCGACCCTGTTCATCGGTTTCAGTGAAACATTTCAGTGTCAGCTGGTCTTCGATCGATAGTTACAACAATTTGCATATCAATGATGATGAAACTGACCTCACAGCCCATTGTTAGTCAGTGCTGCTTGTTCATAGGGTCGGAAACCTGCAGTCAGCTGAGACTGAAGAAGTCACCTGATGACGATGTTTCACTGAAGATGTGCAGCTGAACAGAGTCAGCCTTCTGGGTCTGACAGACGGGGTTCACGTGATTTTTATTTCATTTTATTTAACATTCAATCCAGTGACCCAACGTCAACAACATGTGGGTTATTTACTGAAACATGGTGGACATTTCGAATCATCCTTAAATCATCCAAGTTAAATAAGTTTAGAGAAGAGAAAAATAAAGACTAATTTACTGACACACACAGATGTGCTTGAATATGAACAATCTTTTTTTATTTCTGCAGCCTGATGACCAGGAGGAGCAGGAGGAGCAGGAGGGAGAGGATGGAGGACTCGCCTTCATCGCACACGTACCTGTTCCATCTCAGAAAGAGGTGAGACACACAAACACGCTTGCCTGCAACGTGAGGACCCTCACTGCCAAGGATGACGCCTGATTCTAACCAGAGCCTTGAAAGCAGCTCTGACTGTGTCCGCTTCATTTAGATCTCCAACCTACATAGAGCCAACAACGTGGCCTACCTGAGTGGGCGTCACCTTTGGCACACCTGTGCAGGCGGTGTTAGCTTTACATTTCCCAGGAGGTGCAGGTCAGCCTACCGTGCAGGGTTTCAGGAGAGTTTGGTCTGTTCAATTCACTTTTATTTACACAGCGCCAAATCACAACAACAGTCGCCTCAAGGCGCTTTATACTGTAAGGTCGACCCTGCAATAACACATACAGAGAAAAACCCAACAATCATATGACCCCCTATGAGCAGCACTTTGGCGACAGTGGGAAGGAAAAACTCCCTTTTAACAGGAAGAAACCTCCCACAGAACCAGGCTCAGGGAGGGGCGGGGCCATCTGCTGTGAGAGAAGGAGGACATGATAAAGACACGGGTCGTGCCCAAATTCATGGGCTGCATCCTCCTGAGGACGGGTTTGTAGACCAATTACATCACAGCGACGCGCCGAAGGCTGTCCAAATTCGTAGACTCCTCCGAATGCAGCCGACAAATGCGTCCTGCTTTTTCCCGAATTTGAAGGATGGGTCGGGTGTGTCCTTCGTGGCCCACCATATCCAAGAATTCAAACCAGCCAAACTCCAGTTTCCAGCAATGGCGGCCGCTGCTAAGTTTTTAAATTACTCTTACTAATCTTTCTGGGTCACAAAATAAACTTTTAACATATTGTCAGGCGAGAAAGGTTACTGATGCGGCCGAGAACAGCACAACTCCCGGCACATCATGTTCAGATCACCGCGGACTTTCCCTGCTCGGGTTAAATGTAATATATAAGTCACTTAGACAACCTAAAAATGTTATTGTTGGGCTTTTTTCAGTGTTTTGTTTGTTCGTGAGTAAATCAGTTTGGCTGAGATTAAAGTTATTAGATTAGATTAGATAAAGTAAAACTTTATTAATCCCCCGGGTGGTTTTCACACAGCTGAATAAACGTCAAACAGAAAACTGATTAAACAGACGTGTGAGGCAGTCGAGAATTTCCGCCAGTGTCCTGTTATATTTTAGATAGCAAGGAGCAGACGGCCGAGTTTATTAAACTCCACCGAGACAGCGGCGACGCAGATCTGAAGGCAAGACCGTCCAATTTCACTGCCGTTTACTTCCGGCCTACCCGACCTTCTGAGGACCCGGCCCACGTAGACCGCCAAGGCTGGGTCCTCAGGAGGATGCAGCCCATGAATTTGGACACGACCCATGCTGTGGAAGAGAGACAGAGATTAATAACGGATATGATTCAGTAGAGAGGTCTGTTAACACATAGCGAGTGAAGAAGAAACACCCAGTGCATCATGGGAATCCTCCAGAATGGTCTAGTGATGAAGTACCTGTGGTACGTAGTTCAGGAGTAACCTCCCTGTCTGTCTGTCTCTCAGGTGGAGGAGGCTTTGGTCAGGAGGAAGAAGATGGAGTTGCTGCAGCGTTACGCCAGCGAGACTCTTCAGGCTCAGAGTCAGGAGGCCCGAGCTCTACTGGGGCTCTGACCCATCTGTCTGCTGCTGTAAATACAGGCGTGTTTTTTACCTTTTCTTAATAAAAACTTTCTGCTCTTCAGTTTCTTCTCGTCTACTTTTCTTGCTTATAGTGAACCTCAGGTCTGCCCCCTGCTGGACAGTGAAGTGAACAAATTTCATTGAGGGGAAAGAAATGTTGACTTTTAAGAGAATATCGGCACCAAACCACAGCAGCAGTCTCCTCCGGGCGCTTTTAACGTAGAGACTCGACAGCAATTTAGTGCAACTGATCTCAAAACTGGGAAAAAGAATCACAAACGTCATGATTTTTAGGAAAAAGTTCATTGTGACAGACTGGCGTGCATCCTCTCACCTGTGACAGCTAAAATAGGCTCCACCCCCCATGACCGTGACATGGATAAGCAGAAGAAAATGGCTGGAACATGTTTGTGCAGCTAAATTTGTTTTATTCTTTTGTTTTGTTTTGTTTTTACACGTTTTCATTTCCTTTCCAGCTGGATATCACAAAGGTTTTCCATCGCTATGGTAACGATGCTCTGCTTCTTCTTCTGTGTTGGCCCTCATATTCACACTACCTTTAACCTCAGCAGCAGCAGGGGTCAAAGGTTCATCAGCAGTACCTCGCTGTACTGTCAACACTGAGGTTACTGCAGTACTTCAGTCTGTGTCATCATGTGGCTTCAATCTGCCTGTTGATTGGTGGCAGCATTCTGCAGCATGTGGCTGATTAATGACCTGACGCTTCATGTGATGTCATGTGAGGAGGAAACGGGTGTGTGTGTGTGTCTCTCTGTTTGTGTGTGTGTGTGTGTCTGTGTGTGTGCATCTGTGTGTGTGCGTCTGTTTGTCTGTGTGTGTGTGTGTCTGTCTCTCTGTGTGTGTGTGTGTGTGTGTGTGTGTGTGTGTGTGAGCGCGCGCGTCTGCTTCAGCGTCCTTATCTCCAGTGAACCAATCGTGACCCTGAACCTGAGGTGCTGTTGGATCCAGGTGACTCCTCCCACCTGTACAGGTACAGTTTACACTTCATTTATAGATCACATGTCTGAGACTTAAAGCTGAGTGTTTAGCTCAGGTAACAGGATCTATTTTTCAATTCCTGTTATCAGCTTAATATAGGAGCTAATCAACTAATGACCAAACTAACATGACCAGGTTATCTCGAGGCCACGCCTTCTTCTCCTCCACAGGTAACCCATCCCTCATCTCTGTCTGTGTCACAGGAAAATACCGTACCGTCAGCTGAGCAGAAGCTTTTTTTGTGGTGACAACGCAAGTGTGCTGCATCAGGCTCCTCCCACTGGTGACATCGCAGCTGTGTGGATATAAAGAGCGATGAGCGGCAGAGGGACCTGCGCGTCATGTGGTGTCGAGGTTTCCTGCAGCAGACGGTCAGACATGTTTCCAGCAGGCAGGTCAGTGTGTGTGTTATGACATCCTATGAACCCAGACTGATAACTATTGATAATCTATTGATCGTGTCTTACTGTTTGTCGGACAACAGCAGGCTTCTTCACATGATGGAGGAAAAGTGAATAACTTGTCTTTCTCTCTCGTACCTGTCCGTCAGGCGGGCGTCATCTTCGATGTGGATGGCGTCCTGGTGCGTGGGTCCGCCGTGATCCCAGCTGCTCGGCGAGCTTTCAGGAAGCTCCTGGACAGTAACAACAACTTCCTTTTTCCCACTGTCTTCGTCACCAATGCAGGAAGCTGCCAGAGACACCACAAAGCCCAGCAGCTGTCTCACCTGCTGGACGTCCAGGTAGGAGGCTGCAGAACTTCCTGTTTTGATTCCAGCTGTGTAGGCGCCGTTTATCGATCGATTATTTAAGCTTTTTTGGACTCTTACGTATAATTTAACACAGTCAGCCTGTTTCCTCACCTCTCAGTGAGCCTCCTCCCTACCTGTGTGTGTGTCTCAGGTGATTCTGGTAAAGTTAATCTGTGCTCACCGTGTTCTCGCTGTGGAAGCTGTGACACGGCTGCATAAACACACTGAGGGCTTCTCCGTGTTCACGGGACTCTGTTGGGCTTTAATGTCATTAATTTATAACTTTAAGAGGTCCCATGACTCTAAATTCAACTCAGGAGGTGATGAAGAGGAGAGGAGGAAGATAGCCCTAACATCACATGACTGTCACATGGTGCGAGGGGTTGGCTCTGGTTGGTAGAGCTGCTGATACAAGTACCGATACTTTTACTCTTTAAAGGCAGCTGATGCAGGAGAGCAGAATCATCTATCTGCTAATTCTGAACACTTTTTACTGACCATTAAATTACTGTGACTTTGACTTTACACAGTAATGAGTTAACACAATAAAACACACCTTTCAGCTCTTATTTTGAAGAGCTGGATGTAACTGTTCCTGTCTCTGAGCAGCTCAGCTGACCCGTGTCACGACTGATGTGTGTTATTCTTGTTGTGAATGTTATGAATTTAACACCTTTAACCTCCGTTACAAATGAGCCCGTGTGGCTCAACACTGTGTAACATGATGTCAGACAGTGACATTTATTCAAATTAGTTCATTGTTTTGCCATGAACATTTTTAAGGCTGTTAGTGTTCACGTGCTAACATTAATGCGATTAACATTCATGTGGATCGCAGAACGGACAGACTTTGGATAAACTGACAGAGACATTTCAGGGACTTCGAGTCATTCTGCGCTCCAGATGGGTTACTTGTGTTAAAAATTTTAATTGCATTATGTTAACATTGACAGCCCTAAAATGTTTTAATTCATTGTGTTGTTGCTCATATCTGTGCTGTGATTGGACGCCAGGATTCATCCTGAATCCTCCTGACTTGAATGTAGAATCATGGGACCACTTCAAGTCTACAGCGCATCCGAGGGTCCATTTTTAAAGCATGGCTCACACTAAAGAACATCAGCGCGTCACTTTGTCTCGTGGAGGCGCCGTCAGTGGCTGGGTCCATCTTTTATCTACAGCTGTTCTTCGGACCACTCATGTCTCTCTCTGTCTGTAGATCACGCCGGAGCAGGTGGTCCTTTCCCACAGTCCTTTGCAGATGATGAAGAGTTTCCACGATAAATGCGTCCTTGTGTCTGGACAGGGGCCGGTGACACACATCGCCAACACGTATCCTCCTCAAAGTTCATCAGGGTCAGAAAACTGCAGACAGGACCTCATCCTGGTGCTCACAGAAAGATCACGAGGAGTTCCAGGAAGCAGGTTTAGCTGCAGCTCTGATTGCGCTAACCCTGAGATGAAGGAAACTTTTCTGTCCCAGAAATACTGTTAACCTCTACTCTGAGTCAGTTACCATGGTAACAGACTCCAAACTAACCTGCTGGCTGCCATGGTTTCTCTCTGACTCCTCCCCTCTGCTGCACCTGAACCAGCCAACTGACTCATTTCCTCATTCAAGTCAATTCTGTCCAAGCTCAGAGCAAACAATTAATCTGCAGATGTTTTTACAAAAACTATGATAATCAATCACACTGATGGATAAATGGATCTTATTTGAGTGAAGTTCAGGCTGAGATGACTTTAAAACTAAAGCTGAACTAAATGTGTTTAAAGTCACTGCAGACAGTCTGACTGTAATCGTGAAATGTAACCACTGAAAATCACCTGAGTCGGCCTCGGCAGGTCGACCCAGAACCAGATCAGCCAGAACATGGGCTCCGTGACGGATCAGCAAACCGAGTCCACTTGCACAGCAGGACGGATCGAAACAGATTTTTGATCAGGGATTCAGATCGGATTCGTCCCAGATGTTTTTTTTAACTTTTTTTTAGCTTGAAGCTGATATTAGAGCGACATTATCAGCATTTTTATCCAGTTATGACAGAACTCAGGGAATTCTTTATTTTTACTGGAATTTTTGAAATAATGAAATGGTCGTTAACTGTAGCAAACAGTTTTTAATTAAAAACAGACTCGAGTGCAGATCCCTCTTGGACTTCAGATGAATAATTAGATTTAAAATCAGATCTAAAATTAGGATTCATGAGCACGGTGGCACGGTGGTTAGCACTGTTGCCGCACAGCAAGAAGGTCCTGAGTTCAATTCCACCATCAGCCCGGGGTCTTTCTGTGTGGACTTTCTCCTCGTGTTTGCGTGGATTCTCCCCGGGTACTCCGGCTTCCTCCCACAGTCCACAGACATGCAGTTAGGTTAATTGATCAATCTCCACTATCTAAATTGCCCATAGGTGTGAATGTGAGTGCGAATGGTTGTCTGTCTCTGTGTGTTAGCCCTGCGACAGACTGGCGACCTGTCCAGGGTGTACCCCACCTCTCGCCCTATGACAACTGGGATTGGCTCCAGCGCCCCCACAACACTGAAAAGGATAAGCGAATGGATGGATTCAAGTTGTGATAGCTGACATTATTAAAAATTACATCATTTCTGTCTGCATTGATGAAATCGGTGGTGCAAAGTGATTAAACTGATAAATGTCTTTGCATTCTTCGGTTCCCTGGATTAAAATCAAAGCGCTTTCTTGGCTTTCTTTCTCTACTTGCGCACATGCTTAACTCAGGCTCAACATGCTCAGAGTTGGCTGAACTAACTCTGATCAGCTGATCACCTCAGAGTTTGTTTTTAAACTCGGAGTTTGATGAACACAGTTCCTGGAATACCCCCCAGGTTAACCTTAATCCTGCTTGTTAATCTGATTTTAACAAATGTTTCCAAATATTTGTCTGGATGATGAGACACTGTGAGGTGTTTTTCACTCAGACAGATTTTTTTGATTGCGGGACTTTAATTGTCGGAACGTCTGAATGAAAAATCTGGGTGTTGCAATCCTGAATGGCTCTTCCAGTTTGGGTTTTCAGAGGGTGATGACCATGGAGCAGCTCTCAGAACACCACCCCCTGCTGGACATGGTGGACCACAGCAGGAATCCCACACTTCCTGTGAGTCCTGCAGACATTAAACTCAGAGCCATTTGTGCAAACAGTTTCTGATTGGTGAGAATGAGACTTCGTTCTACCTGGTAAATAGTGCTGATTTTTTTTTTTTTTTTTTTTTTTTTTTTTTTTTAAAAAGCAAAAATGGCAGTAATCAGTAAGTTAAATTGCACTCCACATGCTCATTAGTGTTTCTTCTTCCAGAGTTATGTTTGTTCATTCCATCATCACTTTGTTTGTTTGTTTCAGTCATCTCCACCACAGAGTCTCCCCCAGATACAAGGTAAGACAGCCAACACACAGGAAGTGGAATGGCTTTTCTTCATCAGCTCCTTTTCTGACTTTCGGTGTTTCCATAGCGATCATCCTGTTTGGGGAGCCAGTCAGATGGGAGACCAATTTGCAGCTGCTGATTGACGTGCTTCTGACCAATGGCAGGCCAGAGTGTGGGTATGACACCCAGCTTTCACCACAGCTGCCAGTCTTAGCCTGCAACACGGACTTGCTGTGGATGGCTGAGGCCCCATCACCACGGTAACAACCACAGACTTACCACAGGTGCTAAAGTGGAGGCGTCCTGCTGATGGCTCTGACTGCTGCTGTGTTGCTGTAGGTTTGGCCATGGGATGTTCTTACTGTGTCTGGAGTCAGTCTACAGGAAGCTGACGGGTCGGGAACTGGAGTACAAGGCACTGCTGGGAAAACCCAGTCTGGTAACCTACCAGTATGCTGAGCAGGTGTTGCGACAGCAGAACTGCAACCGCAGGCTGAACACCATCTATGCCGTGGGGTAACCAATATCATCCATATCGAAATCTGTAACAAATAACAACAACACTGTAACCCCATCTGTAACAACAACACTGTAACCCCATCTGTAACAACATCACCATCTGTAACAACATCACCATCTGTAACAACATCACCATCTATAACAACATCACTATCTGTAACAACTCCATCTGTAACAACTCCATCTTTAACGACATTGGTAACGACTCCATCTGTAACACCATCTGTAACAACATCACCATCTGTAACAACATCACCATCTGTAACAACATCACCATCTGTAACAACATCACTATCTGTAACAACTCCATCTGTAACAACTCCATCTTTAACGACATTGGTAACGACTCCATCTGTAACACCATCTGTAACAACATCACCATCTGTAACAACATCACCATCTGTAACGACATCACCATCTGTAACAACATCACCATCTGTAACGACATCTATAATGACATCTGTAACAAAATCACCATCTGTAACAACATCTATATCAACATCACCATCTGTAACAACATCACCATCTGTAACAACATCACCATCTGTAACAACATCTGTAACAACATCACCATCTGTAACAACATCACCATCTGTAACAACATCACTATCTGTAACAACTCCATCTGTAACAACTCCATCTTTAACGACATTGGTAACGACTCCATCTGTAACACTATCTGTAACAACATCACCATCTGTAACGACATCACCATCTGTAACAACATCACCATCTGTAACGACTCCTATAATGACATCTGTAACAAAATCACCATCTGTAACGACATCTATAATGACATCTGTAACAAAATCACCATCTGTAACAACATCTATATCAACATCACCATCTGTAACAACATCTATATCAACATCACCATCTGTAACGACATCTATAATGACATCTGTAACAAAATCACCATCTGTAACAACATCTATATCAACATCACCATCTGTAACAACATCTATATCAACATCACCATCTGTAACAACATCTATATCAACATCACCATCTGTAACAACATCTATATCAACATCACCATCTGTAACAACATCTATATCAACACCATTTGTAACAACTCCTATATCAACATCACCATTTGTAACAACTCCTATATCAACATCACCATCTGTAACGACATCTATATCAACACCATCTGTAACGACATCTATATCAACACCATCTGTAACGACATCTATATCAACACCATCTGTAACAACTCCATCTAGAACAACATCTATATCAACACCATCTAGAACAACATCTGTATCAACACCATCTGTAACGACATCTATATCAACACCATCTGTAACGACATTGGTAACGACTCCATCTGTAACACCATCTGCAACAACACCATCTATAACAACACCGTCTCTAGCCACACATCTGTAACTCCATCTATAACAACACCGTCTGTGACATCATCAGTAAAACATCATCTATAACAACATCTGCTGATAGCTCCTCCTCTATTTGATTGTCCTGTTATTGTGGCAGTTTCACTTTTCCAACTGAGAAATAAAGCAGTTCCTAATTGGGAATTGGTCAGATAAATAAAAAATAAAGTATAATTTAATCATGGCTTTGTTTGTAGTTGTGCTGGAAATTTCGTTTGATGTGTCAATCACATATTTTAATCATGTCATATTAGTAATAGTAACATCACTTTCTCACTTTAGTATAACAAGCTCTTTCCTGACACCAGTTGTATGCATGCATGTAGAATGTTATCACTCACATGGTGGTGCAATTTAATTTAAGATTTTCCACAACAAAGTTTTGAATGCTTTTGAGTTTAATTAATTAATTATAGATTTTACACTGCATCTTGCAGCCCACCAGCAATCACTTGATGGTGTGACCCAGCGTCACACTTTGGGAACCAGTATCTACTTTATTGGCTAATCCAACTGTCTTCTTGTTTCCTAGTGACAACCTAATGACGGACATCTATGGTGCTAACTTGTACAACCGTTACCTGGGTCAGCGGCATGCTGCTGTGACAACCACCACCAGGCTGGTTGCCCGGGGAATGGGAAGTGAGGTGATGGCAGAGGAGGAGCCAATGTCTGCAATTCAGTGCCACTCTATCCTGGTACGTACATCACCTTTGAGGTTTACATCTTTCTTTTTTTGAATGGTGGATGGTCATTAAAAAATGAATTTAAATAATGAGGTTGGAGTGCAAAGGCTGTGATTCTAGCATCTACATGGATGTTAAAAACATCCACAGTAATTATTTTATCTGAGCTGAGCACTAAATCAAATAAAAAGTCTGAGAAATCAGACAGAAACTCTGTGTAAGGTCCAGATGGAGGATAGATAATAATCAATAAGACTGGTTTCTGAGTTTTACAGCTGCGGTGGACAAGGCTAAGCATCAGGCTTTCAAATGAATTAAAAGTCTAAAGTTGCACACCGATTCGATATTGATTTTAGGGACCTCAGATTGGCGTAACCGGGTGTCATTACTGCCGACATGAATTACGATTTTACTGAATTTACGTTTACCCTTACCCAGCAGCTTTAAATTTCCCTCGATGTCGCCTGCTCTGGCCCCTGGAAGACAATTGACTATGGTTGCCGGTGTCTCTAGCTTCACATATCTCAGAAGAGAATCACCAATTACCAGAGTTTGACCTACGGCGGGTGTGTCACCGTGTGGGGGAAAAGAGTTAGACACATGAACAGGTTGGTGGTGTACCTGGGGCTTCTGTTTAGGACTATGCTTCCTCCTCACCGTGACCCAGCCGCCCTCTTTCCCCAGCTGCTTGGGGTCTGCCGGGGAACAGCTAGCGGGGCCTACGTTATCTTCGGCTGCACCAGCTACAGGGGCCTGGCTAGCTACAGGTGAATGAAGGGTGCGAAGTCGAGTCTCCAATTTAGCAGAGGTGACAAAAGTACAGACATTCTGCTTCCGGTGGCTCGTAGCACCGCATGGCCGCATAGAGAGTGACCTCCGGCACCAACCGTGTGTTTTCCCCGGACTCGAGAGCTGTATTAGGGCTACATTGCCATTTTTCGACGCAAGAATGAGTGGGGATAAATCTAAAAAGGGAGGATACGGGCTACGAAACATTCTTGACTGTGAAATGGAGAAGGACGCCGCGGCTAGTGAGGCAAGCCTCTCATCGGGACAAGATGGCGACCGAGGTGAAGGTCTGGTTTGGCTTCGGGATGCTGTGAGTAGCGTACTGGTGGCTGAAATGGCTACATTGCGAACCAAATTGAAAAGTGACTTCAAAGCATTCGGTACGGAATTTCGGGAGGATATAAAGAAGCAAATGGCTGAACTCTCTAAGGAATTGAATCAAAGACTACACGAGATGGCGGATCAGGTAGAGGAGATGACTGGTCGGCTAAAGCACGTCGAGGACAACATGGCTGACTCGGAACGCTGGGACACTGTCAAAGGAGCTTGCAAAGAAAAGCGTCTGGACTTCTTTAAGTTGCTTGAAGACGTTTCACCTCTCATCCGAGAAGCTTCTTCAGTTCTAAGGTCAAATGGTGGAGAGTCCCAGATATAAACCTAGTGGGAGTTTCCCCCACAGAGGGACAAAGGACCCCCTGATGATCCTCTAATCGCCTGAGCCAAGGTGTGAAACTGGGCGTGGGTCCCAATCAGCCAGAGTTTCGGGTGTGTTCATTGTGAAACCTGGCCCCACCTTATCATGTGATTTCCTGAGGTCAGATGGCCCAGGATGTGAGTGGGCGTTAAGGCGTCTGGGAAGGATCTCAAAACTGGATTATAGATGGCAGAGAGTTGGTGTCGTAAACCCCCGCCTCTGTTCAAAGATGGTCGCTCACAGTGGACATAGATGCTTCTTTCACTCCTCTTTCTGTCCTCTCTGTCCAAAATGTGAACATTGGCATCCTCGAAAGAGTGACCTTTATCCTTAAGATGCAGATGGACTGCTGAGTCTTGTCCTGTGGAGGTGGCTCTTCTGTGTTGTGCCATGCGCTTGTGAAGTGGCTGTTTGGTCTCTCCAATGTAGAGGTCTGGGCATTCCTCGCTGCACTGTACAGCATACACCACATTGTTAAGTTTGTGTTTTGGTGTTTTGTCTTTCGGGTGAACCAGTTTCTGTCTGAGCGTGTTGCTGGGTCTGAAATGCACCGGGATGTCGTGCTTGGAGAAAACTCTCCTGAGTTTCTCTGATACACCGGCTACATAGGGGATGACAATGTTGTTGCGTCTGTCCTTCTTATCCTCCCTCGCTGGTGTCTGGTCTTCTTTTCTGTGCCTCTTTGCTGACTTTAAGAACGCCCATTTAGGATAGCCGCACGTTTTGAGTGCTTCCTTTACATGCGTGTGTTCCTTCTTTTTCCCTTCAGGCTTAGAGGGAACATGTTCTGCCCGGTGGTGTAGGGTCCTAATTACTCCAAGTTTGTGTTCCAGAGGGTGATGGGAGTCAAAGAGGAGGTACTGGTCCGTGTGTGTGGGCTTCCCGTAAACTTCGATGTTGAGGTTGCCGTTCTCTTCAATGTGCACGGCGCAGTCCAGGAAAGGCAAACAGTTGTCCTTTGTGTCTTCCCTGGTGAACTTGATGTTTTTATCCACAGCGTTAATGTGCGCAGTGAAGGATTCCACTTCTTGTGTCTTGATTTTGACCCAGGTGTCGTCCACATATCTGTACCAGTGGCTGGGTACTCTTCCTTTGAAAGAGCCAAGAGCCTTCCTTTCCACTTCCTCCATGTAAAGGTTGGCTACAATAGTTGACACGGGGAAGCCCATGGCACAGCCATGTTTTTGTCTGTAAAAGCCTTCGTTATATTTGAAGTATGTTGTGGTGAGGCAGAGGTCTAACAGTGTGCAGATCTGATCGGGTGTGAAGTTGGTCCTGTCCTCCAAGGAGCTGTCTTCTTGTAGTCGTTTTCTGACAGTCTCCACGGCCTCCTTGGTGGGTATGCAAGTGAAGAGAGAGACTACATCAAAGGACACCATGGTTTCATCTGGATCCAGGGTAAGTTTCTGGACCTTGTCGGTGAAGTCGGTGGAGTTCTTGATGTGGTGTGGGGTGTTCCCCACGAGAGGAGCAAGGATGGTAGCAAGGTGTTTAGCAATGTTGTAAGTGGCTGAGTTTATGCTACTGACTATGGGTCTGAGTGGGACAGCTTCCTTGTGGATTTTAGGAAGTCCGTAAATGCAGGGTATGGCATCCCCTGGGTAAAGGCGGTGCTATGCAAGGCGGTCAGTGATTTTGTCCTTTTCAAGGTCCTGAATGCAAGCTATAACTTTCTTTTTGTAGCTGCTCTGTGGGGGGAAACTCCCACTAGGTTTATATCTGGGACTCTCCACCATTTGACATTAGAACTGAAGAAGCTTCTTGGATGAGAGGTGAAACGTCTTCAAGCAACTTAAAGAAGTCCAGATGCTTTTCTTTGCAAGCTCCTTTGACTACGATGACCTGGATGACTGAGAACCTTCACAGACAACGCTGGGACATTGGTGTTAGGGATACACTTGTGCAGCTGTTGGAAAATCAACGGGCGCTTCAGGAAAAGGTGTCCGATATGGAGGGCCGCGCTAGGCGCAAAAACATCCGGATCTACGGTGTACCGGAAAACTCGGAGGGCTCGTCGGTGACTACCTTTGTTGAAAATCTGATCAAAGAACACCTAGGCGAAGATTTCGGCCTGGACCGTGCTCTCGGCATTGAGCGCGCACACCACGCGTTGGGACCAAAACCACCCCCGAACGCCCCACCACACTCAATAATAGTGCGCTTCCTCCGGTTCTCCGTTAAAGAAGAGATTCTCCGCACGGCATGGAACAAAGGGGTACATATCCAAAACAAACGGGTGTATTTCGATCATGACTACTCCCTGGAAGTGCAGAAAAGGAGACGGGAATATATCCCAGTTAAGAAGGCTTTGAAGGACAGGGGGATCCGCTTCCAGACACTACTAAGTAAGATGCGAGTGTTTTATGCGTCAGGCAATGTCCTATATAATACCGCGACCCAAGCTGCCGAGGATTTAAGAAAGCGGGGAATAGCCGTGGGTAAGATCACTTTGGGGAACCAAACCAACAGGATGACAGAGGACACTTCCTACTTCCTTGGGAAACGCAGACAGCACACTGCGGGGGCGGCTTCCAGCAGCACGTGTGGGAAAAACTCCAAGCATTCCGGAGGGAGCAAGAAAAAGTGCCAGCAGACGAGTGAACAGCTGATGGCGGGACAACGGTGAGATAGCTGGCGGTAGAGTTTTGATAATCTAACCGCAGGAACACTGACTTTCGTATCCTTCAGAATTCATATTTCTTTAGGTTGGTGCCTACGGACATGGTTAGAGAACCACCACGTTATGTCTAGTAGCAATAAGAGACTGTTTTTGCTTATTCTTTGCCCTTTTTTGGCTTTTTTGTCGGTCACTCCCCTCTTGTCGGATGAGGAGCCCCACCTTGTGGCCAGTCCCCTCAATGTCAAAGGACACTCTTATATCCTTTGTATTGGAAGCTCTTGTTAATGTTTGGTGTGTTTGCTGTTCAGTGAGTTCTGGTTGTGATGTTCTGAGGTCTGGGTTGATTATGTTGTATTCCACATCTCCACTTGATGGCTTATAATTTCTATAAAATGCTGTCACTAAATGTAAATGGCCTGAATAGCCCTATTAAAAGAAGCAAATTAATTTGCCAAATTGAAAAAGGAGACCGTAGATTTGGCATATTGGCAAGAAACTCATCTAGATAATGCAGAACATGAGAAATTAAAAAAGATGGGTTTCAGACATACATTCTATTCATCGTATAGGGCCGGGAAAAAACGAGGAGTAGCTATCCTTATCTCAAATAAAATAAAATTTGAACATATATCTACTATAAGTGATAAGGAAGGTCGGTTTGTTTTAGTAAAAGGTAGAATAGAGAATAAGGCGGTCACACTATTAAATGTCTATGCAACCCCCGGGAAGCAACGCAAGCTTCTTTAAGAAGATATTTGATTTGATCTCTAAGGAAACGGTGGGAACTCTTATTTGTGCAGGAGATTTTAATTTACTGTTAAATCCCAGATTAGACTCAAATAATAGGGACAGGAAAAGCACGTCTGGAGGGAAACGGGTTAAAGGAATGTTAATGGAATTAGGACTTAT